GCAGGCTGCATGAGACTCCATGTATGATATAATGTTTTCCTGAGAAAATCACTTATGAAATCTGTGAATCATAAATACGAGCCAATTTGTCATAAAAAATTATCAGTGAAAGCATTTCTTTCTTATGGTTGAGATCCTTTGTATACTATTTTGTAATTATCCAAATAAAAAAGCATGAAGACTCCTACGACAGCATTTTAAAGAGCTTAGCCACAGTTAAATAACCTAGTATAGCTATAAAAGGTACTATTAAAAATAATTCTGAAAGGTTTCAGATTTTAAATTACGTCCAAAGGGGCGTTTTTTTTTAAAATTTTGTGTGTTACTTTTGTTTATTAAATATCATGTTCTTCGCACTTAAACCATAAAATTCAGTTCAAGAGCAATATCGCAAAATAATTTTAAAATGAGCATATCTTTAGAATTTCCGATAGATAGTCTCACGCGCTGAAGATAAAAATGTTTTTTCTGTACAACGTTGTCATTGCTCGCTTTGAAATCCTTGTGTTTTTTAATCAAAAATTCGTTAAAGTTTTACAAATTATGAAATTGATAATAAAACAAATTCCAAATTTCAAATTTGGGCTTCCAGATGCTAATATTTGCAGTAGGATTACGTCATTCAAAATTGGATGGTTCTAGGTACTATTGTTTAATAACAATGCGAGAAACATACATACATTTATACAGATGCTTCATTATTTAAGTTCTCCAAATATAATATAGGGCGATAATAGTTGGTGGCAACAGTTTGAAAAGTAAAAACGGACATTCAGAGTGATTCTACGCAAAATCGCTAAACAAAAGCAACAGGCCTTCAGGGGCAAAGCCCCTTTGGACTTAAAAAATACAAATTAACAATTTGATTAACTGCCTAGTACTATTAAAGGTGAAAACTCAAGATGGTGAACTTTAAATTTTAAAGTATATTTATGTTTATGTAAAGCGTCATTTGATACTTGAGAAAGGGATACTAATGCATTTATATGCTTATGATCATTTTTTGTGTCAAAGCACCATAAAGCATTCTGCTTCTGTATACTTATGTATAGTAAAGAAATTTGCCCATTTATTGAACATTCTTAAATCTAGTATATTGCAGAAGAATCCGCAACAGAATATTTTCTTTTTATAAACGTTTAATAATCCAAAGATCTCGAGAACACAAATTCCTCACAATTAATGCAATACTGCTTGCTAATTTACTGTATAAAACAGCGTATATAATCCACAGGACGTCATGATATTATAAACCAAGATAAGTCATTAATTAATTTATTAATTAATTGGGAGTTAATTGCAAAAAAAAAGATATACATTGAATTCAAAGCAAAACATTCCTCTGTACTTTACATTGATGGCATTAACAGATGGAAAAAAAAAAAAAAAAAGATCTAATAAAAGTTTAGGGAGACGAACACTGTCTGTGTCTTTGTCTATTGTAACACATCGCTTGCGCTGCGTGATAAGTGCGCTAGTACGCCGTTGCTTGCAACTCTAGTTGTGCACTAATAATCAAATTAATAAAACAGCAGGTATACTATGTTACTTTAATCCCACCAGTGGCCGAGTGGTTAAGACCGCTGATTACTGGAAGTTCAACTTGGGATCGATCGCAGGCAAACGGACTGGTCGCATGGTTGGTTTTCATGATTTTTCCCATGCGTAACGTGAATACAAGTTAATTTCCCTAAAAAATCATCCACTAAGGCATCTCTTCCTTTAGTAAAAATAGCCCTCGTGTGCTTTACGGACACCAGCGGCCGAGCGGTAAAGTCGCTGAAACACTGGTAGTTCGGTCTGAGGTTCGAATCCCGCGAACGGGCTGGCTGTATGGGCGTTTTCGTGGTTTTCCCCATGTGTAACGTGTATACGAGCCAGTTTTCCTTAGAAAGTCCTCCACGAAGGCATTCCTTTCCCTTAGGCAGATAGCACTCGAGGCTTTACCATAATCGCATTATATTGCTTTAGAAGGCAACTTAAAAGCCATCCATCTCAAACCATAACCAGGCTTAAGACCAGGATCTTCATAACCATGGTTAAGACTGCTGAGGAAAAAAAGGCGAATCCTCTAATTTGTTAAAGTTCCTTACGCTACGATCGTAAATGAAGGGTCACTACGACCCTGAAGTAACTACTAACATTAACAGACTATATTTGAGTTATTAAATTTCTCCAGTAGATTATAGTCAGCCGCTGATTGGTTCCTGACGCATGAACTGGTTTTCTCCATGTGTAACGTATAAGTCTGTCTCTTTATGGAATTCTTCTCATTAAATCCCGCTAAAATCATTCGCCACCTTGCCTTAGAGAAGAAAACTTGAGCTTTTCTGTTAAGTCGTTTTGAATAAGTCTGTTTGGTCAAGTTGGCGCAAAAGTGGTTTGAAAAAAATGATTACTGAATTTGAAGAGAGTGAGCAGTTGAATGTTCTGCTAAGAAGAGAACAAAAACTGATTTCAAATGAAATTGTGCTAGCAGTCGCTATTGCTATGGTTGACAGAGAGTCTTGTTTCCGATATTCATTGAGAAGTGCTCTAGCGGTGTCGCGGGATTTTTCTATCCCTTGGTCTATAGTACGAAAACTTCTGCGATCAACTTTTCAAAGTCTTATCTATACAACATGCACATGATGCAAAGGATGCAGTCTCAAGATCTGCAATGCATTAATTTTACTTTCCGATTTTTGGCGAAAATAGCCGTTGACATTGCATGTTCTTAGAACATTTTGTGATTAAACGAAACGAATTTTGTCCTAGACAAAAGAATAAATACCCATAACTGTCGCATTTGGAATACTGCAAGTCCTAATGTTATATGTGAAATGCCTTTGCATTCTGTTTACATGACTGCAAGGTGAGATTTGACTGCCGGGTTCATTCTTGATCCGTTTTTCTTTAAGAACTTTTCGTCAAAGCATTAAAAGATGAGCCGTCACGAGCACCTGTTAATGAGAGTCTTACACGATCTTACAAGAACGAGAATATTTAGAGACTTCTATTTTTATGCAAGATGGTGCAATACCCCATATAGGGCAAGAAGTCAAGGGTCTGCTTTGTACTGACTTTGGTTACTATTGAATAATTTTGAGAAGTTTTCCGAATGCCTGATTCTTCGACTTGAGTTCCTGTGACTTCTGGTTATATGGGGATTCCCGAAAGATTGTGCTGTGAAGGAAGCATGCCGATTCTGTCTGAATTGAAAGCAAGCATAACAACCCACATTGCAGAAATTTAACGCGAAACTCTTCAGCTACTGTTGAATGTGCTACAATTCGCTTCGAACATGTGATTGACGCAAATGGAGTGCGCACAGAACAAATGCTGTGATTAAATTATGTTTCATGTTTCTTTTTATTTATGTGTCATTTTTGCACGGTGGTCGAAATTTAAATGTTATTTTTATTGCAGGTTTATTTTTCACATTGTCCATATAGCGTATACACCAAGTTAAAAAAAATATATCAAACAGAAAAGACTCTACATAGGTATGAGTAGTCTCACTTTGATTTAAATTTAATTAAATCTTTAATTAAAACTACCACGTAATGCGGAATTTCCACGACGCATATAGTTCTTCGTGGAAGACTTTATAAGGAAGGCAGTGTCATATTCACATTACACAGAGAGAAAAGAAACCCACGCAGCTGGATTGTTTGTCGCAAGCCTAACGAGGGACAAATTATGAATGCTCAGCACTATTACTCAGTCACCCATCTGTTAAATGCCAGAGTATATAATAAATTACTCATTTGCTAAATAATGGTGTCAGAAATATGAATTTTCTAAATTAATTTGTTGTTTATTTTCACCTTTGGTAGTTGCTTTTGATGTTTTGTTTCTTGTCATCAAAATTACAACCTTAGAAATATGATCCGGTATAACCAATAAATATCTATAGATTTCTTTTGTTTTTTGTTGAAGCGATTTGCGATGCATGCTACAATTTGCGATGCATGGTATTTTAAATAATATTTCGCTCTATGTAATAATGCAATGATGTCAAATAAACTAAACTCAGCTGCGTTTACTACTATTACAGAAAGCTACAATTACAGAAAGCTTATCTGAAAGTTGAACTATTCACAGAAAAGCAATTATGCGCTGCATCTAGGCTGAATTCCAAAAATAATATTTTAGATTTAATTTCTTTTAATGGATATATATTACTCATTTTGCTTCGCTCATATAAAATATCCTTTCTTCTCTTTTTAGCGAAACAAAAACAAAATTACAAGTTTAGTATTAGATATATATAAAATTTATTGCATTGTTTTATTTTAGTTTAAATGAAATGTAAGTTTCAGCAAATGAAAACGATTTCATGTTTAGATTTTTGTCTTTAAAAGAAAGCGTACATTGTATTTTAATTTATTTTTAACTGTATATCTGTGTTAGATACAATTTCTTGTGTAAACTCTCTTGATAAAATAAATATAATATATATTATATAATTATTATTAAATACGATTAAATAAAGTATTATTCTCTCATTTGCGATGCACATATTTAGCCCACTGCAAAAAAAGATAGCTCAGTTATCCGGATTTTTTCGAATATCCAGATGGAAAGCAGCCTATCCGGATATTTGAGTCTTATTGATCTCACTAGTCCAGATATTTGGAAGTCTTTTTGCACTGCTAATATATGCTGAAATGAACCAGACAGACATTTTTTGCCAAAAAATAATTATAACGGTATTTTTTTAATTAGTCTTAATTTAAACTAATACCTTGGACATTACATATGTAAATACTTTATTTGTTTAGTCTCCATAATCAAGCCTCTTCCAATTACTACCCAAGCTTCATGGGTTCAAAAGTTAACAGTCTTCGATACACTGTCACGGAAAAATGTGCTGTGTGGGCATTCGTGATAATTCAATCCGGCGCAAAGAAGAAAACAAATTAAAATCGCCTTCCTTCTCTTTCCTCCTCCACGAAGTGCGGTGGCCTTGTTCTGTCAGACAATAACAAGCTAACATCCCGATTTTCATTTTACAGTCAGCGGTCAGGTGAAGCCCGGCCAGCTGCTGGCCATCATGGGGGCCAGCGGAGCCGGGAAGACAACACTCCTCAACGTCTTGACTAGCAGAAACCTTCGTAGGCTTGCGGTGGACGGAGAAGTGCTGGTCAATGGTGAAAATGTTGGAGAATCTATGACGAGGCTGTCAGCCTATGTCCAGCAAGATGACTTATTCATTGGTACATTGACAGTTAAAGAACATCTCGTTTTCCAGGTGAGTTCTTGACAGTATTCTTGATATTCGTGCTTAATTGAAGATACTGAGAATCGAGTTAATGCATTTCCTAAACGTAATTTGAATACTTAAATCATGAAAAGGACTTTTTGTAGAAAATGTAGATTTTGAATTTTCGAGCGCTACTTTACTCCAATTTGGTTTCTGATGTCTCCTTTGGACGTAATGTATTTATGACATGAAGACTTATTGATACCATAACATAAAGATATAATATTTTTTAAATGTTCCCATTTCTGACTTTCCCTCCCTATTTACCTTCTTCCTGATTTGTTTCGGATCTATTGTTAAGTCCTGTTTTAATTAGAACTATTTTCCCTTAAGAGTTTGATGCAACCATTACCCGTTATAATTTCTAACATTACAATTTTCTTCTTTTCCTTTTTAAAGTGTACAATTTTAATCATACCATTACGAATTTTAAACTTTTTTAAAATTTACTAAAAGTTTTTTAGTAGTTTTAGCGTAGTTCCTTTTAAGTATTAACATTTCTTAGTTTCAGTCTTTAATAGTTTTATATTTTCGTTCCTAGGAGGTAATGATAAATGGAAAATTAATAATTAAATTTATACATGTATAATGTTAAATTCTTTATGTTTATGTTTACGTTTACATTTTTTAAATTTTATGTTTATATAGACTTGTGATTTTATCGATGATATAAATCTTACGACGCATACTTTGCGGCATATACAATTTGCGAAGAATGCTTAACTTGAGAACAGCTGTTTCGCAAGCACGCTTCGTTAAATTTTGATTAAGAATTGTATCTGAATTGTTAAATTTTAGGAATTATATAAAATAAAAGTATGAGAAAATGAATAAGTATAAATGCTAATTTAAACTAGTTTTCCATAGAATGTGAAGCTGAATAAATTAATTATATTTTTAAGAACTTTAAGATTAAACTGAACTGAAAATTAAATTTTATCCAATATGGGCTATTAAGTATAACGTTTAACATAAATAATTATACAGGTGAATCTGAACTAATGGGCAAAACTATAGGTGGTGATAGAAGGCAGAGCTATACGAGTAATATTCGTCATAGAATGTATGGTAGCGGTGAGAAGTTAAAGGGTAGTTTTCCATTGTCGCATTTAAAAAATTAACACAAGAATGAGAGGAAGTACTCCAGAAAACATTTTATTCACAGAAATGCTCGTAGAAATTCCTCACAAGATCCTCCGCCAGCTGAAATGCACGTTTTACACCCGCAAGACAGGGATTGACGCACATTTCCAAAGACACCAGGCATTTACCGAATATCGTCGGCAACAACAGCGATCCTGTCGACTAGAACCATGTTGGTTTCAGTGGAGCACTTGTATATTAGGTTTTTCATATGCCTCACAGTAAAAGTCCAAACACGAGTGATCCAGTGATCTTGGTGACCGAGCTATGGGACCACCTCGACCAATCCATTGCCATGGAAATTTCGTGGTTCGTATAACCAGCAATCCTCTCGGCGATCCACGGTTGAAAATGTCTTTGGGTACCTTAATACCACATACATATACTTGTATAGCTACTATAGGCTTTTATAAGCTATATTTAACTAATCCCTAAGGCAATCAGAATGGAAACTTGCAGCTAACTCCAAACAGAGAAATCGGAAGAGTAAAACCAGTAACATAGTTTACAAGAGAATAATCCGCCCAACCCGGTATAGTAGTTAGCATCGCGTACTGCCGTGCCGAGGGGCTCGGTTTCGAATTTCGGAGAAGACATGGATGCTTGTAAATGCCGTTGGGTGCGAGGATTGATCCTTTTTTACCATTTATTTACAATGTCACCTAACAGTTTGCCGTTTGCGTTCCGATCATACATTCTATGACGAATATTGCTCGTATAGCTGTTTTCTGTCATCCCTAACGTTTTGCCCGCTTGTTTAGGTTTACCCTGTATTTGAAAGTAATAATTGATATTTGGGTTTAACTATTTTGCAAAGTTAAGACTGGCAGAAACACGGAAAACATTCTTTTCGTTAAATACGTAAGTATGTAAAAAATAAGTTTAAAAATATTTCTACAGAATTCCATGTTAAAAATATTCCCAATGATATATATATGTGTACTCGTAAAAATTTGCACACGTATGTGTTAATCTTTCTTGAAAAGAACCTCCCAGTTCCTTACTTATTAAAAGCAGTCAAAACGTTTCAGAGACAAAGATTTTGAATAAAATGATTCTGTGTTTCCAGTTTGTGCCTTGTTCGAGGTGCAGGAATTCCTTGGTAGTTCGCTTGTTAAAATATCCGGGTGGTTTTGCACGCATGCGAGAGTTCTCTCCCTAAGGAAAGGATGTATCAAGGAAGATTTCCAAAGAAGAACAAGCTTTTATTTACGTTCTACACGGCGAAAACTATGAAAACAAGCTCATGCAGTCAGCTCGTTCACACACATTTGAACCTGAATCTAACTACCAGTGTTCAATAGTCTTATCAATAGGCCACTTCTGGGAATTCTTGAATTAAGTTATTCCTCGAGACTTGTCTTATGGTCCCAAAATTAATTTAAAAAAAGATCGATTTTAATAAGGCAAAAAGAAAAAAACAAAGCAAAATGATTGTGAACAAAGGAAAACAGATTTGCATTTCTTCATTTAATTCATCTCCGATTTACTGTTTACGAAACGTACCATTTCATGATACAGTCTTACACAGAGTTTAATGTACTTCTTGTTAAATCTTTCATGATATTTTAAGTCTCATTAATGCATTTGAAATCCTTTCCTAAAATTTTACATGAAACAAGTAAAACATGTTTCATATCAATCTACCATTGAAATAAACAAATATTTCGTTTTTTTTTTTTTTTTTTTTTTTTTTTTTTTTTTTTTTTTCATGCTTTTTTTTAATCTCTTGCAAAAGCATGCAAAATTATTTTTAAAAAATACCCCCAGACTTGGATTGTTATGAAGTTTTGTGTGTTTATTTACTTCAGCTTTTAGAAGTCTCGTTTATTTCCCATCTTATGAAAGAATTTAATGATGAAACACGCATAGCAGAGAATATGTAGACGTTTATTTAAGCATAAGTTTCTTTAAAGCGTTCAAACATTTTGCGCATAAAATATTTGAATCAAGAACGGCATAAAAAGTGAATATTTCTGTGTAAACTAGAGAAAGAATAGAACTGAAAAAGTAACATGAAATTTAAATTAAATGGTCTTTCAAGATAAGGGATTTTAAAAATAAAATTAGACAAAATTCAACCTTAGAAAATCTTAGATTGCTTTTTTTTGCTTAATTAGTCCAAAAGGGCTTTGTCCCTGAAGGACTATTCTTTTCGTTTTGCGATTTTGCATTGAATTACTATAAATGTCCGTTTAACTTTTCAAAATGTTGCCACCAAATGTTAGAATCCTGCATTATATTTAAGAAATTAATAAGAAAATCTGCATAAATGTATGTAAGTTCTCGCATTGTGAAACACGGTAACACCAACATCGAATTTTTGAATGACGTAATCCTCCTACGGAATTGGGCATGTGGCAAGAAATTGAAATTTGTAATGTTTTATTTTCGATTTCATATTTTGTAAACCTTTAACGAATTTGAGTATCAAACTCAATATTTAAAAGCGAGCAATGCAACCTCAACGGGGGAAAAACCTTTTTATCTCCAGCGGGCATAAACGTGTTCGGAAATTCTAAGATAGGCCTCTTTTGAATTATTTTGCGACATTGCTATTGAACTGAATTTTATGGTTTAATGTCAAAGAACATTATATTTAAATAAAGTACACACAAAACGTAAATAAAGAAGCCCTTGAACGAATTTAATCGAAACCTTTGTGCTTTTTTTTTTTTTTTTTTTTTTTTTTTTTTTTTTATTGAAACAGTAACAGCGTCGTGATTTTTAAATAAATATTTGCATTTGCTAATTCTTTTGTATTCACTTTTGCTACTGATAGCGTCTTTGATATATATACATGTAATATCTTATATCTTGCTATCATTATCACAGCCGAAACTCCCATGTAAAAGTTAACTCTGCTAAATCTCATGAAAAATTATTCCTCGACTGAAAACTTACTGATTGTGGGATTAGTAATAATTTCCGGAGAAAATTGTTGTTGCGCTTTTCCAGAAAAAAAAAATGTATATCTAGGAGTTCAATACAAGCATCTTCCAAAAAAGGTCGCTCGTGGTTTTTATTTGCTTAAATATCAGAAAATTGAGACCTGTTTTAAGTATTGTATTATGGTAAATTAGGAAGTATTACCCATTTAATAATTAAAAACGCGTCAAATTTGTTTTAGGTGAAAACACTCCCGGAGATAGAGGAAATGGTGTAAACAATACGGCTAGAAATATAACTACGATTCGGATAACACTAAGCAAATGAGCGGTTGTTTGTAGCTGCTTCTTATATTGGCTGAAGAGGCCTGTGAGCATGGCACTGGCCTAACTGGAGACTATTCGCTGAGGGGTGTATCTTCGGAGTTTCATGCATATATAAACGGTCTAAGGAAATAAATTAAACCCCATAACCCCCTTAACAAAACAAGAATGATAAAGAAAATTGTTCCATAACAAGTAAATTATAATAACACATTCTAGCTACATTGTCTCTCTTCAGCGCCGTGCGTGCGGCATCTCTCACCGATCATTCACACATCACGGGGAAGACAAACCACGCGTGTGGTACGTCTTACTATACGTCCCGAATAGCCTCCGGACCATGGATGATAGAGAGAGAGGTAAGTGGCAGTTTCATAGCACGAGGCAAGCAAAGCAGAAGAATGCATAGTAATTTAATATGGAAACTTAATTTAAAAGAAAGTTTTCGGTTCTGGAAAGGGAAAACTTATCTTTTATTTCCTTTCATATTTTAAACAAAAGAAAAGTCTGAAAAAATAAAATTTAGCAAACAGTTTCTGTACAGATGATGACTAGAAATTGTGACCGATATTGAATATCTTAGTTTTTTTTTTTTTTTTTTTTTTTTTTTTTTAATTATTAACGTTTTTCAGAGCTTTAATTCTTCCAGACTATGAATTCAAGTATATTTATAGGCTTTGCTGAGAATGGAAACACTTGTCTTACAAGGAGAGAATGAGACGTTTGACGAAGCTTTTAGAGTACGTCTCTTAATTTAGAGTAGCACATTTTTTTTTCTTTTCAACACGTTGTAAGGTTATCTAAATTTTTAACAGTAGCACTTTCTATCCTTCTTATTTCAGTTAGAATTTATGCAGAACTGTTTTCAGAATCGCGGTTAAATGCAAATGAAGGAAGAGCAAGTATTTAAAGTTGAAATTCTACTGACTTCGTTAGAGAGCAGAGATTCTGAGCAGCGCACCAAACACTTACTTTTTTAAATAAAAGCTTGGTTTAGAAGTAAGGCAGGCAGCTGGGCAGGTTGAAAAATGGCTGAATATTTCAGGATAAAGGATCTGTGTTCGCTGGAAACAACTTGAAAACTAATTAAAATCTTAAAAACTAAAAATATTATAATTTGTAGGAGTTGGTAAAAGGTAGCTTAAAAAAATACATGTTTCTGCAGATCAGCTACTGTGTATAACTGCCTATAACAAAAGGAATTTCACCGCTGTGCAGCCGAGTTTAGAACTTGCTGTCACTATTAGAATTTTCATGTCTTATCAAACAGTATACGGTTTCGTAAAAGAAGACTTTGTGCTAAAACATACAATAATTTGTATTTCATTCAATTCAAAAGAAAGCCCGCCTAAACTGGAGCAGAAAATATCAGAGTCTGATGTTCTCTTCAGTGGAGAAGCTAGAATCAGTTTAACATCTAATGTTCATAAGTTTAATATCTGGAGACAGCAGGGAAATCGAAATTATCATACCAACGCTAGGGAATATGATAATTGCGGCAATGCAGTTGTCATAGTGTGGCGAGACATAGTGGTCAATTGATATAGTTCTCTTCATTCGTTCGAGTTAGTGTCTTTTCAGAAGTATCCAAATGAAGTTTTAAAGCTTTATACTCATATAAAGCATTTTAGAAATGTCATATGTATATCTTCCTTTATGTGAATCATAACGTATATTCATATTGAGTAAATCGATTTCATGAAAGATGTTAAGTGAATAAACTGATCAGCCAAATCTATTTATTTGCATTTCATGCAGAACTTATTTAAAACCTTTAGAGGGCAAAACTTTATGGCAGAATTCTTCTTCTGTAGTCTCAGGTCTTTTATATCATATTGGAGGAGAAAACTGATTGTCCTAAACTCTAATTGTATTGTAGAAAGCACAAAATCGTATTGTAATATATATAGAGATATGCGAGTTAGAAAAATAACACTGTCTGTTAGTGTCAAATGCTTATTAATGCATTCATTTTTGAGGTATATAATTTTTCTCTAAAATTCAATTATCCATATACGTATTAATTTATTAGTCTTTCTCTCACAATATAGTCCTTAGTCGTATGTATTTACACTCGCCATTTCAGTTTGTATTTGTGTGTTATGTATCACTCAAAAGAATTCATTCTATTCTTGATTTGACAAATCAATCCCTTATGTACGTTAAGAAAATTTTTAATATAAATGGGAACTATATACCTATATATAATTTCAGTTAGGTTTGAGAAAGTGTGAAAATACTATGATTGGAATCGCCGGTAAGATCAAAGGAATATCAGGAGGAGAGGCCAAAAGATTGGCATTTGCAGCAGAGGTAAGTCTTAATATTTGCACGATGATTCTTTTATAATCCTAGTTAAAATAACACTCCGGATCTCCATTCTTTTAGGCGTTAAAGCAACAAGAATCAGCGTAATATTCATAAATTTGCAGGACTATTTTCGAAGGTTTAAATATAGAACCTTCTTCTTTAGCTACTGAAGTATGAGAATGTAGAGTATATAAGTATAGAAGTGCAAAGTATTTCTAAATTAGAACAAATTTATGAATATCTCTCTGGTTCTTGTTGCTTTATTAATAATTCTAGACTTCTTAAATTTTTTCTCTTTTGTGTTTTATTTGTTATTTTTTGTGCTTGAAAATACTGAAAATTTTTGTTCCATAGATAACACAGGCCAATTAAGATCTCATGCCTTAATTGGACGTTTTCATGTTTGAATTTGTTGAAGAAATACTAATTATACATTCAAGAATCTAATGTAATATTTTTGTGTAGTTATTGAGTATATATACATGTCACCATGCACTGGTTATCAGTGATACCCATTATTGGATATAATTAATCATTGTAACTTATGCACGTATGCGACAAGAAACGAAATAAGATAAGCAGATAAACAATTTTTTTCAGAAATGATAATTTAAAGTGCACAAAATACGTGTTTAGTTTTGTTTGCTTTATCTGAAGTTTTCAAAGTTTATATATACTGCCTGTTTTGAGTCAAATAATGCTTTTCCAATAATTAGTAGATAACGATAAAATCTGAAATAGAATTCTTATCAAGTATAGCTGCGTAATTTATTTAAAGGTGGAATTTGTATTTTCTATTAATAAATATATTCGTTGTTATTCCGTTAAAAATTATGTAAAAGACAATAAAAAACGTGCTTCTTTTCCATGTAAAATTAGTTAGATATAAAAAGAAATATATAAGTTAATTACCTAAACTTAATATTAAAATTACGTAGATTATAAGAATACTAAGTGAGCGCTCTGGGAGCCATCGCCGCTGAACGAAAAACCTGGGTAAAAATCATATTCAGTGAAGCCTTTCTTTCCATTTAATTATCTTTTTTAAATAGAATGTAGGTAATTCAAATTAAGTTAAGCCTGAAAATGTAGCTAAGCTGAAAGACTGAATCTTCTAGAGCGAAGAGAGCTAAGCAACTTCTCTGAGGAAGAGATGAAGAGGCTTACGATTTTTGCCCGTCAGTCTTTTGAATCTCTCCCCGAGAGCAGTTGTTGTTCCATCTTCCTTTCAGAAAATCAAATGCCGAGACGCATCTACTTGTGGTAAGATATTTGTACAAGTGTTTTAATTTTGTGATGAGTATTATATGTGAGGTAGTTCAAACTAATAATTATAATGAAATTTATATACAGCTCATTTAGATATAAATCTCAAGATCACTTCTTGAATAAGTTTTTCGAGATTTAAACCAGAATGTTTTATCAAGTATTTCTTCTAAAGCAGCGAGTACATTTGAATCCATTTGTACGTTTCGCATTCAGGTTGTTTTGAGCCTTACGAAATGCGCAGTTACGATATTTATGATAAGATAATGATATATGGTAACATCGATTATGTTCATAAAATGAATGTCACCCATTGGCATATTCGGAAAGCACACTATTAACGAAACAATTCGAGTTATTTATGAGGGCATTCTGTTAGGTAATTTCGTACTATGAAGGGTAAAATTTTGTTAGTCTATCAGGGTTTCCCATCACTTTTCTTGCATCGACCTCTTTTAAAAGAATTGTTTTCTTCATCCACTTCCTTTCATTTAACCCTTTCCGGTACGCTACCATTTGAAGTCGGAGTTTTGATTTTAAAAAAAAAAGGTAGGCAGTCTAATTAGGCCTAGAGGAGTACACAAGTAAAATTTTGTGAAGATCGCACTTATCTTTTAATTCTACTTATCTTTTAATTCTGCGGGTGTGCCCAAAGTGGGCACACTGATTGAATAGAGCTTCGAAAAGAGTGCTGAAAGAGCATTGTTGTCAATGAATTGACCGATGAGATGCGGTGAAACAAAGAATACGGACTTTCAGTTGTCCTAGATTATCGGTGAGCCCTGTCTGGGCACACCTAGGTTTCGCCGTTTGACTTTAGGCAGTATTTCAAGGTAAAAATTTTAAACTAATATAGAATAAAGAGATTAGCATACAGCCAAAAAATAACATAGAAATTTCTTTTCAAAAATTTCCTTTTATACTCTAAAACAAATCTGGAAAATTTCTTTGAAAAATGAGGGTCTTAAAAAACTAAGCATGGCTAAAATATATGGACTGGTTTGTGTGAGCTGCCGTCTACTATAAAAATAAAGAAGTTTCATAGTAACCTATAAATCCTTTTTTCATTCAATTTTTCTGTGCGTACAGAAGGAAATTTTTAGGTGTATCCAGACCGAACACACTGTAAGGGTTAACTATATAATACACGGCATGCAACGTAACCATAATGCAAACAATTGCAAATAAATAACTTATATATAACAATTAGACTAAGAATAGGAACAAAGGTTTTGAATTATTAAATTTATGTTTTTCTTTTGTTGTTGCTTTTAATTTTACAAATATAAACTAGTATTTAGAAACAAAATCATAGGTTCTAGTATCGCAAAATTTCGATTTGAACAAATGTAATGGCTGCTTCTGATCTACGGATGTAGTTTTTTAAATATTTGGCACATTTTTATACCACTTTGTTCAAAAATATTCATCTTGTTTCCTGGTCTAGTTTTATTCACATTTTTTATTGTGTTTCTTAGTAATGCTTCCCTATAAGTGTTTTTATATTGCACTTATTGCGGAAAAAGTACACATATTTAAGAAAAATATTATTGATTTTTAAAAAACACGTTAAATAATTATAGTATATTTTTCCCTTATATTTATTTTACATGATTTCTTCCATACTTAATGGTGCAGCTTTACATCAAGAAACAATAAAGTACCAATTTTGTTAATAATATTTATTTAATCAATGGGATTGATTATGCTGATCAGTTGTCGATGCATATTCGGCTATCGACCCCTTGATCGTCGTTGACCCCTTTTAAAATTTCATCAGTCACCAGGGGGTCAATATCAACCGCCTGGAGAATATATAGTCTAAATGCTAATGAGAACACTAAGCGCCATATCTTCAGATGAGTCAGTCACTGTTGATTGACGATATGCAGTATGAAAAATTATAATCTACTATACGTTCTACACTGACCTCTGGCCGTCAGCATATCGATGAAATTGGATATCGCCGGCTAAGTGGAAAGGACGACTAAGCAGGCCTGGTGCTTAACGTGTTAAATACTGTTAATAATAATATATAATAACACCGAATAAAGTTTTTTATAAGCATGGCACATAGAGAATATTTAAATGGCAAACGTATTAAAGACCTCCAAAAATATAAACCTTTGGAGCTACAGCTCTATTAGTCCAACAAGTCTTAATGTAATACTAAAAGTGTATACATGTTAAAAAATACAAGTGCGTTAAGATTACTGACAACTATACGTTTATTATAACTTTTATTGTTGTTTTCGAAACAATGCAAAATAATAAATTGGGCTTTTCTAAGATGCATCAGTCATAAAACAGAGCTTTTTATACACACAGAGAAAGAGAACTTTAAATCTTAAACTATAAAAAATAAATAAATAAAATAAAATAAAATCTGAAAATTTTCAGATTTTTATACTACATCCAGACGGGCATTTTTTCGTTTATAGACACAAACACGTTTCGAAGGAATTTGGGCTAACGCCACAATGAACTACAAATTTTTGAAAACAGCATATCTTTAAGAATTTCCGATAGACAGTCTCTTGCTTTGGAGATAAAAAGGTTTTATTCCCTACAGTGTTCTCACTGAGTGCCGCTTGAGATAACTACTGACCCGACTTTGTTGTAAAAGTCTTACAGTGTTAATAGTCACCCTGGCAGAAGGGAATATTTCCTCCGTGTAAAAAATATAAATATAAATATTACATGGGTATACAAGGCCTGTGTATAAGCATAGTTATGTTGATTACAAACATTGTCTTGTACAAGTTACATATGATAGTTACATAAAATCATCTAGTGTTGATTTTCCAGTTGTTGTAGTATTTGAATTGCTATTAAAATTATGCTGCGAAGATACAATTCTCAAGGGAGGGAGAGAATTTCTTAGTACCTTGCTGAACATAGCCTGATTACCTCCTCTATTTTAGTTTTCGTCTGCTTTGTTGCCGCAGGTATTCTCCGCCCATTGCGGCCAGTATTCACTGCTTGGCATTTTTAAATGCAGTTTATCGGTTCGTGGGCAGTTGAAGAGAAAGTGATATGCATCACCTACCGCACCACATTCACACAATTCTGATGCTCGTTTGCCGAATCTCTTAAGATAATGTGGAAAGGGACCATGGCCAATGCAGAATTGAGTTTGTGCTCCGCTGTATGTATTAATTGAGCATGTAACTTTCGGAAAAAACTTGTAGGTTCTCCTACCTGTGCTTTCCATTTTCCATCTTTTCCTGCCATTCTTGTAAAAGGTTATTGAGCGTGATTTTTTTTTAAATAGGACTGCGGAACACTTACTGCGTTTTCCAGTCTACTGGTATCATTGGCTGCAGATTTCGCAAGCACGTCCGTCGCTTCGTTGCCAGTAATACCCACATAAGCTGGAATCCAGATCAGGATAGGACTGTTATCTGGTGGGATACTTAGAATTTTCTGAATATCTTGCACCAAGGGACTCCTTGTCTTGTGCCCTCGGAGGGACTCCAAACTTGAGGCAGAGTCGCTATATATGTTGACCTTTATTCCTAATTGATATTTTGCCAAATTGATGGCTGCTTTTAATGCAAGAAGCTCTGCCTGAAAGACGGTATTTTTGTCTGTCAGTCGTCTTTCCCAAGTTTTAACCACTTCTCCTTCTTGAAGTACACAGTAGGCGCAGCCTGTGCCTTTCTCCGTCTTTGAGCCATCTGTATAAATAGCTAATGCTTTCTCATTTGGCGGGGTGTATTGGATGTTTATTGTGTGCAATAAATCTGTATCTGCAGGGTACAGTGTTCTCACTGCTCGCTTTGAAATTGTTCCGCTTTTAATCACAAATTCGTTAAAGTTTTACAAAATATAAAATAGACAATAAAACAAATTCCAAATTCGGGCTTCCAAGTACCCATGTTCGGGTGGAGGACTATGTTATTCAAAATTTGAGGACTCTAGGTACCTTTGTTTTTTCACAGTGCGAGAAACATAGATACATTCATGTAGATTCTTCATTATCTATTTTTTTATATAAAATACAAGGTGATAATATTTGGTGACAATAATTTGAAAAGTGATTCGGACATTTAAAGAGATTTGACGCAAAATGCCATTTCGAGACTAATAGCTCATCTGGGTTAACGCTCATTTGGGCTAAAAATACCTGTAAAATTATTATTTCCCTAAAGACGCAACTTTACTACCTCAGTAATAAAAGCGACCTGCACACATGTTATAAAAGTACATTTGAAACAGCCAAATTAGAAGAAAGATACTAATAATTACAAGACTTACTGTGTATAAGTGGAATGTATTTTGCTAAAAATTATATTAAGTGAAAGAAAAATTATGCAAGCATATTAAAAATCATTAAATTAAAAATATTGAAGTAGACAAATCTATATATAAAGAAAGGTTCTGTTGTTAACTTTCTTTTAGTAAACGAAGTTTACTAGATACTAGTTAAAATAAAAATTATTAACGCATATTAAAAATATATCAACATTTATAATTGATTTTCATCATATTTCTGCAAATTATTATTTTTAAAACAATACATGACTGAAAACATGCCAAATCGAATTCGATTACGGAGAATTGTGATTAGTGATACGATACTTGGTAGTCTTCTAGTTATTTAAAATTATGATTTGGATCTATTAAGTACAAATTTTAAAAAGTGTTTATATTATTAATGATTTTAACAATTGATTCCATCATTTGAAATTCCAAATAAAAGCCTTAAAATTACATATCGAAGAAATTTCTTATTTTAATCACATTCACCTTCTGTTGCAGGTTCTGACCAACCCAGCACTGATGTTTTGTGATGAGCCAACGTCTGGCCTTGATTCATTTATGTCACAAAATATTGTATCTGTCCTCCGTGATTTAGCAATGGGTGGCAGAACTATTATATGTACCATTCACCAGCCTTCTTCTGAAGTTTATGAGATGTTCGATAATTTGTTGCTTCTAGCAGAAGGAAGAGTTGCATATATGGGAGATGCTAGAAAAGCTCTAGATTTCTTCGAAAGGTTGTCGAATTCTTTTTCACATTCTGATACAAAATGTTCTTTGCCTTTATTTAATAGCTAATGATGTAGATAATATGCTTTTGCCGTACAGGCTTTTGCCATCGACTGAATGATTCAACCATCTTTTTTAAATTTCTTTAAAATAATTTCAGTTTATTTCAAAACATATTTTTCAGAAAATATACTGAATAGACAAAATGTTATATTTACTTCTGTGAATGACGTACTGCTGCATCTTTTTCTGTAATAAAAACGTTCGTACATTTTTGATGACTCAATGAGATACTGTACTGAAAAAGGTATGTAAGTATTGCCGCACATACTGTTGCAAAGTATCCAGAGTTGCATATGGCATTAACGGCTTCAAAATAATTTTTCCATTTTGTTCTAAAAATTCTTTATTGGACTAATAAATATCATGCATTGAAAGAGCCAAAATTTTTAAAACCGTTTTATATCTACTCTAGCCAGTTATCCATTTGAGAATGATGTAGTGCTGTCTTGCAGAACACTTGCATCATTGTGGGCAGGAAAAAAAAATGCAGATACGTCAAGTATGTTTACCTAATTCGAACTATTCAGAACTGTTTCCGAAAGATGCAAAAGATTTTTATACAAATAGTTGGAGCTTCTGGTTGCACGCCCCAACAAATAAAAACGTCTTTTGTCTAATTCGCATTGTTTGTGCCACGTATGCACCCAATTAATCTGAAAACGGAATCAAAACCCTGATTCGACAAATTAATGACATGTTTCCACTCTACCATAAACCAATTATGATACGCGAGATCATGAAAGATTGACAAATAAAGCCTCAAAATGTCTTGAATATGAACAAAATCTTAACAGCCACCGTAAACCTTTGACAAAGTACGAAGAGTCATAAACGTAAACTAAAAGTAACAAACAATGTTGTAACAATCATTTCAAAATTTAGTGAAAAAAAGTTTCATCAAATTTCGTCATAAACTGTTACTCGATAACTGTCTGGTTATTTGTTACTATATGATTTGACCTACATTTATCTAAAAGGTTTAAGATTAGAAATTTTATCACATCCCAAATACTTTTTATAGATATGTGGATGATTTAACTTAAAAATCAAAAAAATTCAGCAGTTGCTGGAATGAGGCATCTTACTTTTATAACGCATACAATTTAGTCTCAAGCTGACTGTTATTGCTTTATTTGTGATTACACAGAGATATGCCCTGATTATACTTATTATTAATTACATCCTGCGAATCATGCTGCTGTTGAAAAATCCCGCAAACGATTTTTGTATCGCCGTTAGAGGGCGCCTTTCTTTTTATAAAAGAAAGATTTTTTTAAAGATTTTTTTTTTTTTTTTTTTTTTTTTTTTTTTTTTTTTTGCGTTGTTGAAGCACCTCTATGCAGTCCCAGCCTGGGTTCCTGCCCGAAAAATAGACAGACAAAAATTAAAAGTTCTTCAAAACAAAATCTTACCTAGCATAGTGAACGCACCCTGGTTCGTGCGAAATTCTCAAATTCACAAAGACCTGGATGTCAACTTAATTCACGACCAAATCCTAATTTCTGCACGCAACTTCTTTGAAGATATGAGAAATTCTCCCTATGAAGCTATTAAATCGCTTACAGACTATGACCCTACTATTGAGCACGTAGTGAAAAGACCTCGAACGATCCACTACAATTCTATGTGGTGGTAGTGTATATATTGTAATAAACAAATTAAAAAATTTAAAAAATTACTCTTCAGTTACTATTCAAGAAACATGAACTTTGCAAAGTTAGGACTTTATTTTTCATTGATGAATTCTTCGTTTTACTACTTATTTAAACAAGATTTTTACTTTTACTTTTTATTTTTACTATTTCGTATCGTGTGTTTTAAAATCAAAGTTCGTGGTAACACCAAGTGCTTACTCTCACTCATTAGCCCTAGTGAGCTACATGACCTCATTTTCGCCTTTTACAGTTTCCTATTCATTTAATGATTATATCGCAAGTTTAGATGATTTTCAAGTGTTTCAAAAGACATAGGACTCTTAAATTCACAGTCACCCAGAAGTTTAGACTTTCATTTCGCCTCTCGCCGCCATTTATAATCACACTACATGATATGCCATGACATGCAATTTAGCGAAACTCATTTTATGAGTTCTCTCATTTATTGATCTCACCTTCGGGCGCGGTGTATTTTTAAATACACCTCTTAAATTTTTAACTTTATGGCCTATGGTATAATGATAATATACTGGTAAGAGCTCCTAGTAGCTAAAGCCACCAGTAAAGATATGATCCAAGATCCAAGTTGTTGAAGCAAAGAGAACCACCGACGGCTTCTGGGACTGTTTTGAAATAAATGATTATTTTGTAAATTGTGGAATATGATCAGCTCTCTCTTTTGTATGAAGTTAATAATTTATTTAAGTAAGTTAATAATTTATTTTCTTTTATTGGTGCGTCGACCGAGAAACGGTTCAGGTTCATGTAAATTATTGCAAACATAGGCCAAAAGTCATTTTTCATAATATTTTCGGCTTCCATCAGTACAGTCATAAAATTCTTTAAAATGCAGTTGAACTGCACCTAATATTTTTTTAATGGTTCTTTGGTGCTTTCCATAAGGCATAAGGCTTTTAATCATTGCTATGTATAAATTACTGTTAATAATAATTTTCTATTTTGAAAATACCTAATTAGTTGGAAGTAAAGTCGTTTCGCTAATAATTACGGAAATAATGAATTATCTTGCCTATTCAAAATAATTCAGTTTATTTCTTCATTTAGATTTTTATTTTTTAAATATATCATCATCATCAAATTTAGTCATTTTATTGCACTTTACATCTAATACCATAAAATGTTACAGTTTTAAATACTTGAAATATTTTATATTAAGTACGTTAATTTCAGCCATAGTATTTCCTGTCGAAAAAAAAATAAAATTTCTTATTTCTATAGAAATTTCTAGAAAAAAAACTTTCATAAAATTTGTGAAATGTTATTTCATTGTATTCTTTTATAAATAAACTTAGCAACAACAAATGTAAGAATCCTGAAATAGCATCGAATGTTCCAAGCAAAGATGACTAAATATCGGCAAGTGAGAAAGAAGCGTTGAAATTATTGCTCCGAAGTTTAGAGAAAATTTAAAGTTAAATATTTCGAGAGAACAAATAAAAGAAGAGGCAGTAAAATTACGCTGCTTTGTAGTTTTATTCGAATGTCAGGCTATCGAGCAACAGATTTTAAGTTACTTTTTTTTAAAAAAAAAAGAAACCTAAAACTTAGAAAAAGAAATGCTAAAGAAACTCTTTGAAAGCGGTTAAAATTCTTGTTTTGATTTCAACTAATTCCTTCTAATTCAGAAGAAAAATCGTTGCTTCATGATTAACTAAATTTGTCTATTAATTATTTATTCGAATTTAAGGAGTTGAACCATACTGTCACACTTCAGTATTTCAATTTCAGTTATTCGCAAGAGGACAACCAACTTCGAACATCTGAGGAAAGCATTGTCTACAATTAAAACGATTCCCATGCAAAATAATGGTAATTATTTGTTGCTGTTGTTGTTAATGGCTTCCTAATCAAATATTGAATACGAATACTCAATTCAAATTTAGAGTCGCTTAATTTTTAAAAATTGCATAGGCACCAAACTTGGATCATTTGCATATCAGAACTCACAGTACTTACTTACAAAGTTTCGCGATTGTACCTTTCTTCCTTCTTGGTGCACTAATTTCAATGTTCCCGAGTGTATTACAGATAACAGTGTATACAATGTAACAGAAAGTTTTTATTTCATTGTTCAAGTAAAATTTCACATGTTGTTTTTATTGAATATCTACCCCCGTATGTTGGATAATCAGTTGTCTTCAATGGTATTTATATATATATATATATTGCATTAAAAAATAAAAGGAATTTTCAGATTACTTTTTCATCTTTAATTATATTTACTGAATATATAACTAACATTTCATATTACATTCAATTTCTTTAGGGCGGGTCTCCGTTGCCCCATCAATTATAACCCAGCAGACTTCTTTATTCATAATCTCGCAGTTGTTCCTGGAAAGGAAGCAGAATGCAAAGAAAAAATAAAAGTAAGACTTAAATAGAAAACAATCTCTCTCTCTCTCTCTCTTTTTTTTTTTTTTTTTTTATCATTCCTTTTTTTAACGATTATGTTTACAGAAAATCTCAATAAATACCATTTGAAAGACAACATTGTCAGTGAAAGCAGACCGTGGCACGTGATCAGTCTGAATGACTTATATGTGCAGCTACCAAATATATTATACCAATCTGAACTGAAAGCCCTTTTAGGGGGCTCATATATCTAGGGCCTCATATTCTGTTATCAGCTATATAACTTTACGCACCGATAGATTTGTGACTTCGCTCAGACATGCTGATCACAAATTCCGAGCCTTAAATTGCTGTCAAACCGGCCACCAGTTTCCCTCAACATTTCGACAAACGTAATTTTTCGAGAAATTTTTGTTTCCACGAATGTTAGTACAGGGAAAGATTCACTTTCATTGAGCAGCTGCTCTATTTCTATCCTCTAGTCTGATATATAAAATGCATACCCATGAGCTCGGCGTTCTTATAGCGATGCTTGTCTTTCGAAATCTGCATGGAGAACGACGATTTGCGCCAGCTGAACACTTTTACTTACTATTCAGCAGCTACCTCTACTACTTCAGCACGTCATTTCCGAAGACACATTCCATTACAAAGTCAGCTTATTTCAATTCCATGTACCTGCCTTCACCTTTGCCAAGTATTTTTGAATACCACTTGTATATTGGAAAATCAGTTGTTTTCAATATATACATATATATTGCATTAAAAATAAAAGGAATTTTAAGATTTTATTCCATTGTTAACTATATTTTTCTTGACATTGCAATAGAAAAAAAAATAGAAGGTACAGGCTATCCCATATGATTTTATTATAATAAAATTCTTGATTTAAAAAAAAAAAAAAAAAAAAAAAAAAAAAACTAAATATTGTACTAGATTTAGAGCGGATTATGCAACAGCTTTTGTTAAATTTATGTATTAAAGATATGCTTTACAGGTAATTAAATCTCTAATTACTATTACTTCCTTTTTTTACTGTTTCGTTTATTTAAAATCCGCTGTTTCAGACTATCTGTGACCAGTTTGCAAGAGAATCGAGAGTCGCCGAAGCTACTTTGTCGTCTGGATATTCTTACACAGTAAGTTAAATTTAGCACTTTATATAATATTTACTAACTTTTAGCACTGGATGTTACGTAAAGCGGAAAAGAAAAACCTGTAATAAAATAAATAGGAAAATACAAATTTCAACAAATTAAATTTATTCACAGTTCATAAAATTTTGTTCTTGTCCTTGCATTAAAATTTCAGCACTGTATTCACAAAAAAATTAACATACCGGTATATTACTATGAATCTTCCGAAAATTCTTTCATCGTTCCGTGGAAGGTTTCAATTTCATTTCCTTTATTGTTTCATCTAATTCTCCTGCTTCTTTTTCTTCGCTTCTTCTTACTCAAAAAGAATTATTCTTTTTTACTAGCCATCTTCGTATACAAGATTAGTTTAGGTTAATTAATTAAGCAGCTAGCCCTTATGTACCTAAAAGATATCTACCTCAGGAAAGATGCTTTACTGGGAAAATTTCACCAGGAAATTTGTTCGTATTCTCAGTACAAAAGATAAATACCATGAAAAGCCATTCGTACAGCCCTTTCACCAAGATTTTAACTTGGATCATGCTATGAATGTTCATCATTCTTACCCACTCGGCCACTAGTGAAATCTTCTCGTATATAAAAATAGCAAGTTAAATTCAAGAAATTTCAGTTGGATGATGTTCAGTAGGTTACGTTGTAAACAACATTATATTCTTTCAATCAGCTGTGGAACTTTATTGCTCAGATGACTGATTACTGTCCTTTCAATAAGTCTGAACAATTTTGCAAACTTTCACATACAAAAACATTTGAATTAATTGCTACTCAAATTTGCTGCGGTAAGAGACTGAAAATCTTTATGCGCGGAAAAAGAACATGATGTAATGAGTTTCAGTTTAGAGTTTCTTTGGAGGAAGGGTTATAATTGAAACGATTATTGTTGAAAGAGCACATGTCCATATTTTGTCGATTTTGAGATTTTTAACGTTTCCTCATTCTATAAATATAGATGCATTTAGAGCTGAAGCAGCACGTCTCTGATTGAACTCTATGCGCACTGGTAAGCAGTCGAAAATGGTGTTTATTGTTGAAAGGGAACATGTCCAGCCTACGAGCCCTTTCTCCGCTTAACACAGCGTGGGGCGTAGTGCAGGCAAAGAATATGTAGCAGGGGAAACCTCTCGTTGTTGTTGAAACATATTGTTGTGTCTTATTGTGCAGTCTTTGTAAACATTGCATCATCCTTTTCCTAAGGTTTCTTCATTTTTATGTGACTATATAAGACAATCTAATATCTTCATTTTTATATGAATATATATTTTATATGACTATATAAGACAACATATTCCAGCGTCAGCAAAAGAAATTCATATTTTTTCGGATGGTTGCACGGGTCAAAACTGAAATCGTACCGTTTTAAGATTCCTTTTAGCTCTTTCTGTGACCAGACAAAATTTGATTGTCAAGCAACATTTTCCTGTAAGAGGACATAGCTTCCTGCCTTGTGATAGGACTTTCGGTGGTATTAAACGTCACATTACAAAAATGGATCGAGTATTCACACCAGCCCAGTGTAAGAACCTCATCTCTGAAAGCAGTTCCGATGGTAAAAGTTCAACTGTATTGCTGGAAAACAACAACATCGTCTTAGACTTCAACAGTTGGTGCCCAAGATACTTCAAAAGACAAGTTGTGCCTGTGGAGGATATTGCACAAAGAAGATGTACAGGAGCAAAGCAATCTTGTAAAATATCCTATTATTATCATTTCTACAAGAAGGAGGCGGTTTTATTTGCCTATAACTCGTTAAATGGTTTAAAATATCTAAAATTGAAGAGAGTTAGAAATAGTTCTTCCCTCTGCACCAACCTATTCTGGGATGAATGTCATTAACGCAAAGAAAATAGACGATATCAAAAAAGTTGTTTACTACATACCAGAAGAATATAAGAATTTTTACACCATCAAAACGTTACGGCCAATCTCTACAACAACTGCACCTTCCGAGAGCGAAGACAACTTTTAAGTTTAATGTGGTTGGTTAACATTGTTTGACTATACTTGGGTTTTAAATATTGTTTCAATATTATGTTTAGTATTAAGGATTTTTGACAAAAATAATACATTTCTGGGTGTGTGAATGCCATTTTTAATGGGACGAAAAGCCTATAAGCCGTTTTATTTTATTTTGTGACATGTTTCATATTTCGATATATTTCGATTACTTCAATATGCCTTTTTTCTTGAAATAAAGTAAGTTATTCAAAGAAAAATCGATACATATTACCCCTTTTTGCCTCTTTATTGTTGAAAGAGCACATGCCCCCCTTTTTGCCTCTTTATTGTTGAAAGTGCCCTTTCAACAATAAAGAGGCAAAAAGGGGGTTAAAAATTGCCTAGAAATTTTGAAATAGGAATTAACATTGTGAAAAAGTGCCTACAATGTTGTTTTGACTACCTCTTCTTATTTGGAGATCGAAATATGTGGTAACTTTATTCTGGAAAATGTTAGAAGGTTTTCATTGCCTGAGACATTTTTGCCTATTCTGAACGTCTCTGATTTAAAATTCATCTCTTCCGCAGCTGGTGACATTTGAAAACGTTCAAAACGATGGCTAATTTATTCGCAAAATCATCTACCTCATGAGAATTTGACAGAGTTCGAAATTTTTTCTAGTTGCTGTTGAAGTATTTTGGAATTATCTTTTGTTTTTGAAATTGCACCTAATTTATCTTCTGTAGGAAGTTTTCCACCATTTGTCACTTTTAAGTCATTGTCTGATTTTTCTTTCGGCCATTATCAAAAAGTTTCATGTTTCAGACATTATCAAAATATTTCTTGGTTTGGGCTATTATCAAAAATTTCTTGGTCAAAACTGAACATCGGTATCTCGTATTTTCATGATTGTATGCCGTCTGTCTTCTCGTTTACTGATTATTCAACGAGCTGTTGGGAATCAAAGTCTTTGTAGATTTGGTTATTTAAATAATTTTCAAACAAATTAAAGGAAATTGAATTCCATCCAAAAGACTCAGGAAAAAATTACTTGCGAAAACATTAAGGATAAAAAAATGATATGTTACATTTTATTCCAGAATTATTAAACTTAACATATGAGCAATGAATAATTTTAATCAATTTTAAATAAATTAAATAGGAAGGTATTGTCATATTTATTTCACTACAGACGTTAATATCGGTGGAAAGCAGTGGAAAATAAATTAAATTTTTTATTATTTCCAATGATAAATAATTCATAAAATGTTTCCAATTAATTTTCCTTTATTTTTCAGAATAATCAATTAAAGCAGAACTCCAGGTAATATTTTATAGTCCTTTTTTATTTCTCACTAACATTAAAAACTGTTCTAAATTTTCTAACTATACTATTTTCTACTACAAACATGTTATCAATATAGAAAGCACTATACTATTAAATCGACCAATATTCGAAATATTATCGTATATAATACAAACTATACACTTCTCGTCAAAATTAAAGGATATTAACAGGAATAAAACTTAACTGTTATTCATGGGGAAATTATTAAAACTAATTTGTACAAAGTTATTATTTAACACAAATTACCATGTTTTCCAGATTATTAATCTCAAAATATTGAATCAAGTTTATAAAAATTTAAAAGTAATGGAAGAATTATCTTCCCTATTTTATAAATCCTTTCTTTAGTATGATGTACAATCACTTTTGATAAAATGGCAAACATCACATATTTATTTCATAGAATTAACCAAAGGTCCTGTAGAAATGCACGCCGCTGTTTTGAAACTGAATTGTTCAGATTCTAGAGAGCCCGGGAAGATATAAAGAACACTGCCATACATCCATCTAAACCACTCAAATATGTCAATATGATTCAAGTCGAGTGAGGAAGTTTGTGAATCCAATGAAGTGATATCTTCTGTTTCTAAGTATTCTGATGTCAGTGATTGGCAGGGCGAATATTGTCATCCAGTAACTAAAGTTCTAGGACAATAGCACCCCATAACAGCCTTATATGCGATTCCCCTACTTATCTTGGAGAGGTCAAGAAGTCTTCATCAAAGGTATCAGCCCGATGCTGCCATTTTTTAATCATTCCACCATAAAATTGTTTCTTTGGAAACAGATCTTTCGTGCAAGTTGCATTTCCTTGCTCTCTCTCTAACTTTAAACAGTGAACGTGTTTTTTTGGATTGTCCTTTAATTTTGATGAGTAGTTTAGTATAAAATAAAAATTGTCATATTTTATCTATTATTATTTTCAGACAAATTTACGTAATGATTATCGTTTTGAACAGGTCATTCTTGATTTTAAATCTCTGATTTTTTTAACATCAAATTATGATTAACGTAAGAAATACGTTAAAAATAGATGTCCTGTACTCCAAAAATGATTCTTAAGCTACATTTTTTAAAACGGTACTGAAGTTCCTTATTTTAATGCTCAGGTATAAAGCAGGCTGGTGCAGACAATTCAGAGCTGTTCTGTGGAGATCATGGTTAAGTCTGATGAGAGAACCCATGCTTACTAAAGTTAGATTGATCCAAAATATCGTAAGTAATATATATATATATATATATATATAATGTAAATATGTAAATTATAATTTAAACTAGCAATAACCCCTCCTTCCGTAGTTTTAATATGAATTTTCCCCTTTCCATCCTAAAAATAGTAATACCTTTTTCTGCACTGTATCATTTCGAGACTAATCCATGTCATCGGTGGTGACGTAAATGGAACTTAACTCAAGCGCCCAATAATAATTTTACAGCTTTATTAATTATCCAATCAAATGCACTGGAAACTGAAACTAACTCATTTAGAATTAAGATTTAAACCTATGATTGCTGCTTCTCTTTTTACCCCAAAACGATCCAAAATGTAAACGTTTTGAAATAGGTACGAATTAGAATCCTAAGTTGTTGCTGGCCGCAACATGTTTTTTGAAATAAAAATGAATATTTTATCTGCCTCGGCTGCCAAGTTGCTCTTTATAATAGATCTATATAAGATCTTGAAGCGCTTAAGCTGCTTAAGATTGAAATTTAGTGAAAATTTAATTTTATGAAAGAATATATGTAATAAAATTTAATTTTATGAAAGAATATTTGTAATATAAAGGTCATGAAAAAAAAAAAACAAATTACTGTAAATTTAGATAAAGAAAACTGTGTGAAACGACAAAGCATTTTAACTAGGTATTAAACTTATTGAAATAGTTAAATTTCACTTGACAATTTTTTTAACTTAAGAAAGTCTGAAACCGAACAATGCATGTTAATTAAAGGAATTAATGGTGACTGATGACTGGTATATCTTCTTGCAGGCGAAAGGAGATCGAAACCGGGCAGCGGGCAACATTGCTCAGTAGTTGCGCACTGCAAATAGACGTCAGTTGTCTCGGTTTACTGTGACACATAACTTCATAAATGGGGCCTATTCCCCCAACGTCCATTCCATTTACAGCAACCCATCGGGGGCAACGTTTACAGCAGTGCAGAGAACAAAACTGAACACCTCATAAATAGTGTCTCTTTACCGATCAGAGTCGTTTCAGTCTGACAAATGTTTCTCAGTAAGAGCAAATATGCAGAGAGATAGGGATACGCTTTCATCCCACCCTTGGGGGCATTGGGGGGTTTTGGCGGGAGACATTATGATGAACGAACGGACGGAATTCCAGACAGTTACTGGAGCTCGTTAATGTAATAGTTATCGTTTCCCACGTGCATCTTTCCGGGGTCCCAACTTTGTTTTTGCCGATGACAATCCACGGACACACTGGACTCATGTCACTCAGTGCCTGGAAAGTGCAGATAACCACAGAAAGAACTGGCCAGCGTAATTCCCTGATTTAAATCACTTTAAATATGTGTGGGATATTTTATGCAGATGCCTGGTGGCACGATGTTATCCACCGAAGAACATCAGGCAACTGAAACAGATGCTTTTTGAAGTCTGGGAACTCTTACCCTGAAAACTGTTAGAAAATCAGGTGTTGAGCATGGACAGATGGTGCAACATAAACATTGCAGTTAAGGGAGACTAATATCCTTTACTAAAGCTTTTTGGTTTGTTGTTCTCCCTCCGTCTTAGCCAGATAATTTTTTTGTGCCAAAGCCATTCTGTCAATAAAGCCTTTTTATGTTCGTTCCGTACTGTATTCGTCATTGAATTTTTTACTACTATATTTTCTTCATTCTTTAAGTACTACATTGTGCCTCAGTAGTATGAATTTCATATTTCTGAGTTGATGTTTACGGAATTACGACCAAAATCGGAAAAGTTGCTTTAGCACATTAGTATACTTATGAATATTTTTTACCTAACTTAAATTTGTTCGTATATTTTTATATCTCAAATATAAATATGTATTCACTCCTCAACCAGGGTATTTCTAAAATAGATGGCAAAAATGAAAAGGCGGGTAGATAATACCGAAATAGGCAGATTTTGCAATGGAATGCATACGCGGATATGGCACGGTAAGGAAAGCATGAATAACAGGTAAGTAAAACAAACAAGTAAGTCAAAAAAAATTTAGTAATTCAACTTCAAGTAGGTGCTCGAAACGTAAGCCACCAACAATAATATAAGATAAGATCTCGGGCATTTCACCAACATTTCCAGCAGCAGCTGACGGTGTGACCACTAATTCTTGATTTAATGAGACTTTCGTAGATCATGCTCTTAAGGTGCTGCCAGAAGAAGAAATCTATGTCATATCTAGTAACCGTTGCGACTAAAGAAGAGCTTTGCCTCGGCCGCGGGACTGTGGTGATTTATTGCCCGCAGCTGTACAATGCTTTGGTGTTTTAGCGAAGGTTTTCTCGTGGCGATATTTTACCTCAATCACAATAGAACTCTTCGGTGACGAATTCAAGTAATTCAACTCCTTCGAATTTGGAAACACTGACTGGCCCCGCGGGCCCCACACATCCATTCCATTGATACATGGGACCGTTAGTAGTATCGAGGTAACTTCTGCCATTACTGCTAAAATGTGCTGGCGCTCGTGTTGAAGCCAAATTCGTAATGCGAACAGCTGGAGGAACAAAGGAAAGAAATTTTGGTGAGATATCTTATTGGAAACTACCGTATGTGTTTCATTCCAGCATCTATTAGACTATACAATCCTAATAAGTAGTTACGTACATGGCAGCCCAAACAATAATGAAGAATATTTCCCAGTAGGCATGGAATCTCGTAGCATGTGGATTAAGATGCACCTATAGGTTACAACTGTGGATGTGTTTCCGCTTTTATTATGTACCCGAATTTACAAACGTTACCTCATCAGTGAAAAAGACGTAAAAGAAGTCCGGATTTGCTACAGCCTTCTTGAGATACTGCAGGACAAAGTTAACACGCAGAGGATAATCGTCGGGTTTGAATCCTGCATCTTCTCTGAAAATGAACATCTAGGGATGTATTTCTTCCTAATTTAAAGTTCTTCGAGTGATTGTTTGGATCACATCCAACAGCTCTCATGCTTTATAGCAAGATTATCATCAGAGGTACGTATTAGTTTCTTTTAGCGCAGAAATTCAGCGATATCTTTCCCTGCCCACAATCATGTCTGAAAGCAATCTGAGCAAGCAGAGACATCTGGCACAGTTGATGTTGCTCCAAGACCACCTCATAGTGGAGCGAGTTGAAAACTATGAACTTCAAGTATAGCGAAGCTAGTCGACACATGAAACTGACTCCGTTAACTCAGATAAACCCTAGTGACACTGATTGTTGTACCGATAGAATCGACTTAATTACGGAGAAGGCATAGATGTTTGTAAGCGTATAGTGTCTATGCAGCAAGTGGTCACTCAAAATACAGGGAGAGACGAAAGTTCTGTCGAAAGGTTTTCGTTAGGAGCGGAGAGATGGGAAAACCTTTGGACCATCCCTTCCCAGGGTGCTCTTCCTCAAAATTGGGGTGGAATTGCACAGTTAGTGAGGTGGATCTACACCTGTTCGACCAATGGTCAATTTCTGGTGTCTTACCCACATCTACTGTAATTGTTTTCTGCGCATCCTTGGCGCATTATGTCCTTTTCCGTCCGCAGCCGTACAGATAAAATGCATATCGGCAAGCTCCGACTTTGTGTAGGTGTACTTCTCAGAATCGCCCGAGATATGATGGTTTATGACAAAGAACGGCTTTTATTAACCAGTGTCAACTGCGCTCTCTACCATCTCAACGCCCTATTTCTGCGCGCATATTTCATTATAAAATCTACTTATTTTGGTCATTTCTACCTGTCTTTTTAATTTGCCGAATGTTTTAGAATTATGGTGTGTGTGTGTGTATATATGTATAATTGGAAAATGTTCAATATATTCCATATAGCCTCTCAATGTAACAGTAGTAATAACAATTTTAATTTAAGATCTTTGTGAAATATAATATGAATATTTCTCTCATTTGTACAGTTCATTGCATTGCTACTTGGACTCATCTATCTGAACCAAAAGTTGGATCAAAAGGGAGTCATGAACATCAATGGTGCTTTGTTCCTTGTACTCACAAATATTACTTTCCAGAACATGTTTTCAGTAGTTAATGTGAGTATTTTTTTTTTTTTTTTTTTTGAAATATTTTTTTGCGTTTATTCGAGTATTATTTCGGAAAAAAAATACCTGAACTAAGATTGAATTCGCAGTATAATATCACATCTTTAATCAGAGTTACAAATGGCACAGCGATGACTAAAGGAGCGGATTGATCTTATAACTTTACTCAAAAGAAATGGTTGTAAGCAATAATTCTTTTCGATGTTTTCTTTAAACCTTTCGTTCTAAATCACGGAAATTCAGATTCTATTTCGTTGCGAATTTGTCAGTACAGCAACAGCTTTAATAGTTAGGTGTAGGGGGTCATAATAATGAAATAACCCAAATTTTGAAACAGAACCTAATTAAAAATCCTACAAAACTTATTTATTTGAAATGATATCTCTGTGAACTAAAGTACAAAAAGTTTAGTCGGTATTTTCAGCAATATCAGAAATAAGGACAATGAAAAAATCGGAAATCTTTTGGACTTCAATTGCAGTTTTATTCAGAAATTTTCATTTCAGATTTATCTGAATACGCAAATTATTAGTAACAACAGCATGATATTTATTTTTCTTTCCATATACCTGAGTAACCTTAAATATATTGACTTTTGCATTAATTGTTACAGTAAAGAAGCATATCTTCTTAAAATTTACGCTGAGTTATACAAAATTAAAGAAGCTATTTTTAGCAATACACTATTTAACATGCATGACGATTTCAGCATAGAATTAATTAGAAGCGAATGACTTCCGTATACCAAAATTCTTATTCTTCGAAAGAAAATTGCATAATTTCACTCATATGTTTAAAAATATATGAATCAATTAACAGTTTTAAGAAACTTTCGGCTAATTCATTTCTAAAGGTCGTAAGACTTAACAAGGTTTACTTAGAATTATGTTGAGGCTTTTGTAGAGTCTTTGAAGTTACTTTCAATCGTAAATTAAATTTTCCACTTTTTAACCACTATTAGCATCAAGCTACAACGCTTAAAATCAGATTTTGAAGTCTTGCCATAAGCTGTTTGACAAACTGAATCGGAACCCATCTCATCGGTTTTTTTAGAATTTACTAATAAAACATAATTAGAAGTTCTTCAATCCATTTAAAATCTTATTCATCATTTACCATCTGCTAACTTCTTTAAGTGACGATAAACTTCGCTGATATATTTAGACAGTGTATCCAATAGAGTGTAAGTTCTTAGTAGCAGTAAACGGATTCATTTTTCTTGGTTAGTAAAGCTTCAGTTAATTCATTTGTAGGAAGTTCTCCCGGAAATCGATATCATTCAAAATTAATTTTACCTGCCCAAGTTGCAACAGTAAATTATACATAAAACATCATTGTTCTTAATACATACACATTATTCTTAAAAAACTTGAACATCTAGAAGGAATGTAATTACAGCTTTTATTTTTGCTAGTATATAAAGAAAGAAACACAAAACAAATTTTTAGAATTTCAAAGCAATGTGTATCATGTACGAAGTTAGTTTTTGTGTGTTCACTTCTAGTTTGCGTTGCTCGCTTTATACGCAGTTGCACTGCATTCAATTCAATTTCAACGTTTCTTAAAAACAGCTATCCAAGCTACATTAACCCGAATCCAAAATTCATTATTTTTTAGAGAACTGAACTCATAACATATCACCTTTTTTTTGAACTTATCTACACATCTTCAGGTCTAGACAACCGAGAAAAAATTTTTAATTATTTTTATACGAAGAAGGCTTGTGGTTTTACCATATTCAAATTACCTAACCCAATCTAACCTTGAATTTTTCTAAGTGGCGACTAACTGTGGAACCCAATAACACCTCAAATAAGCATGCCCTTGCTTTCAAAGACTGATTAATTATTATAAGCATTATTATTTTCTTTTACAGTAACGGACACATATACTACCATCTCCATTGCATAAACAGAACTATAATTCATCTGAGAAAGCGCCGTCTTGCTACTTAGTGTGCATACTTTCGATGTACCACTATACTCTGGTAGTTCATGAAGTGGGAATGATAACCTGTAAGGGATTGAACGCTTTCGCAAAACAGAGCGTAATAAACGGTAACGAACTGCGAAAGATACTCGTTACCGTTCGCCATTGCTATGCCAGTTCTATCAACGGTCAGCCAAAGACATCCCTATGAAACGACGATCCTCTGTCACCCATAACTGTGGGAGAAATCTAAAATCTTTTGTTCTTGTCTTACGTTCTTTGTCTCCTGTCTTCAAATCAATCTCTGCACACTGTTTCAGTTAGAAACAGTCTTCTTCATTCGCCTGTTAATATCCCGAAAATTAGCAATATGTTTCTCTTGCCAGTATTGCATCCTCTCTATAAAAATTGCTGATGTAATTACACAATTGCTTTACACAACACAGAAGCTTTCTTATCCTTTATTAAACCATGATTAAAACTCCTATTCAGCCACGAAGCCTTGTAAAAATATAAAAGATAATTTACAAATGAGATCTCATTTTCATAGCTTTGGAGTTTATTTACCAATGAAGATTAAATGTTAACCATTTGTTTCATATAGCCTATTTTGAGTATCCTGAAACACTAAAATTTTAGCTATATTCCTTTTGCATTTTCTACTTTTTAAGAACAAATGTGAATATATGTTGTATTTCAACACATTTTATTTTTAATATGATAAAGTCCTCCTCAAAAAATTTTAATTCATCGATTTGAAGATTAGTATATTTTTCCGCTTCTTGACGTACGTTTTATATTGACTAAATTTACTCCTTCTAATTCCTGATAAAAATTCATTAGAGATTTTGTCGCAGATTTATATTTAAATAAATCAGTATGTAATAAATATACAATCGTAAGGATTTTCAATAAATCCTTATTACAGTCATTGGAGAGTTTAAGAGAAAAATGCTCGATATCATTGCTTGGCATTTTTTTCCTTCTCAAAAATGATTTAAAATTTGAATTTTCAAATTGTAATTAAAATTATGTACTGAAAAAGATAATTTGTTATAGCAATACATAGAAATATTTTATTTGTACAGGCCTTTTGTTTGGAACAACCTATATTTTTAAGAGAACATTGGAATGGAATGTACAGAACGGATGTGTACTTCCTTTGCAAAACACTAGCAGAGGTAAGAAGCATAAATACCTAACATTAACAGTTTCCAAAAGTTGGAATTTAATAACACCTTTATCTGAATTTTCCAAAAATAAAACCGATGTGCTTTTAAAAAATAAAATATTAATGCAACTCTTTCTTATTTTAAGGAATTTTCTTTAAAAAATAAAAAAAAAGTTCCCTGAATGTTGACCAGTTTTAAGACATCTTTTGATAAATTACGGAAAAAGACTTCTAAATTCAAATGAAATAAAGTGAAATAAATAGGAAGAAACTAGGTTTCTCTCTGTTATCCATAACGCTAATTTTATATTTATTTAGCTGCCCATAAAATTCAATCATAACTCTAATAAATATTTTCTATAGATCATTTTGTTAATATTTTATAAAACTTCCGAAAATTAAGTATAGATTCTTTATTATCCATTCTTTAGAATGATAACCCAATGTGACTTTTAAATATATTATATTTGACCCTTCAAATATGTAGCGCAGCGGCGCAGTCAATAATCCATATAATTTTTGCCGCCTCAAATCTATATTAATATTAAAGTCTAATCTTAACAACTCGGTATTAACTTCTATACTAAGAAAAATAACTCATGTTTTGCGTACTAAGTGTATTAGAAAACTGCAATAAAAATAAATCACAGAAAGGAAATATCTTTACCAGAAAAAATTACGAAAATTAAGAGCATAAAACCATAAGCGGGAAAATGTTCTGTAAATGACCAATATACTATATTCATCACTATATGCTTATTTTATTATATTTTGTTTCTTAAGGGACAAATCATCCTCTTTACAGGAGTTATATAAAAATAGATTCGTACATTATAAAACATGCTGTAGCTGTCGTACTAATAGAGCTAGAAAGTAAATATGAAAAGATAATGTACAAAATAAAATTATATTTACAGGTTTCCAAGACATTGCTAACAAAATATAGCAATGTGGATGTTTTTTAACAATAAAGTAAACGTAGTCAGTATTATAGCTTTATAATAGATAACAGCAAGCAAACAGTATACAAACAGTAAACAAAATTAAATAATAAATGAATAATATTAATTCAAGTTTAACCTAAGGTGGATAAATTAAAATACAACTCAAACTTTGCACAACAATGAGCAGTAAAGTTAATAAAACAACTCGTGAAATTAATCAAAAATTTCACTGTACACAATATTTCGGGTAAAAACGCTGTTAAACATTGATGCAAATATAATACACATGCACAGTACTTTAAACTAAATGTAAGCTTCAGAGCAAAAAAATCCGCCTTTCCGTTAACTAAAACGTAACGATAAATTGCGATACAATCAGAGCTAAACAACGAACATTACTTTTTCGCTCAGATAGGGAAAAATTCTTCAGTTCTTTCACGTTGCTGGAGGAAAAGGGTGAAAAAGAGAATCCCTTTGACCCCCCCCCTTGAACAGCTGACTGCGTCCACGGTACACACATCCGAATTTTCAAGTGTAAGATGATATTCTGTTTTTCTGATTGAGCCAACCAAAATGTCTTGAGCATTTGAATTTTCATACTGAATGAACAAAAATATTTAGGGAAAATTCCTAAGAATTTCTAGTCTTAGTAGAAATGCAAAAGTTAGCTTAAGAGAAATACATGCAGTTAATTTAATAAATGAATACCAAATATGTTTTAGTTCTTCTGTTTCATAATTTTCTTTCAAAATTTTTCTTTAGGCACCTCTGTTAATATTCATGACAGTTCTTTTTACATCCATTCTCTATTGGATGGTCGGTAAGTTTTCAAACTGCTTTATTCTTAAGTAGCTGTATTTACCTTAAAGCAATTTATGTGAAATCTATCATCGCATTTTATTTATAGCCATATTACTGTTATATCCCTTTAGGTCTCAATTCTGATTACCAAGCATTTCTAATCTGTCTGGCTATTGTAATACTTGTGGCAAACACAGCAGCCTCATTTGGTACGTATCCATTGATGTATTCTAAGTTACATGAATTTTTTAGAAATCAGTATGATACGTTTTCAAGGAACTTATTAAAAATAGAATGGCATATCAAATGATAACTCGCGTCTTTTGTGTGTTTCAAACATTTTGTGAAAGAGTCAGTGAAGAAAATTGAATTTTTAAAAATTTATTTGTTAATTAGAAATCGAAAGGTTTACTTACACTTTTAAGTAAAGAATGTTTCATTCAAAATCTGTGGTATATGCATTTAACACGTACAGTGTGATGAATTTTTAGTATACTGTGCGTCTAAAGCAAAGGTAGTGCAACTGCAGGGTTTTTAAATGCCAAACTGTGCACTTGTTTGGGATCACCATAACAGCAGATTGCATAGGTTGCGCGTTTTATACGTAGGATTTCGATCCAGTGCTTTCTATTCTAAGTAACAGATTAAAGTTGATATATTTTCTTCTTTTACATCCAATTACAATTTCCTTAAAAGATTATGCTAATTTATTTCCAATAGTCTTTGTTATGTTTCTAATTGATTCACTTATCCTCAACAACTATTTTGTTTCCTTTTACAGGTTATATGGTATCTTGTATTAGTGGTTCTCTAAATATAGCTCTCAGCATTGGAACACCCCTGCTGATGCCACTATTACTGTTTGGCGGGTTCTACTTAAACAATGCGTAAGTTCATTTTACAAATTATTTTGATTGCCTTCGTTAGACTTTGACAAAATTACGGAGCAAAACATTTTCTTTAATCTTTTATCGAGTTGATCAAAAAGAAACAATATGAGACCATTCAAATCTTGATAAATTACACTCAAATGCTGTCTGAAAGTCTTTTCATCGAAATATGTCTGTGCAATCTAAATATTCCCTATGTACTTAAAATGTTAAATCTTCATTTTGGATTTCAGCCTTGGTTGGTTTGGTTTATCTAAATATGGCAAAGCACTCAAGGGCTATCTGCCTAATGAGAGGGAGCAATCGTGGAGGACTTTATAAGGCAAACTAGCTCGTATAGATGTTACACATAGGGAAAACCACAAAAACGCCTATGTAGCCATAGCAAATGAAAAGCATATGTCCACTCCATTGGAATGGAATAGTGTTGGGTGTTAATTGTAAGAATCGGTTACGGATAATGGAGGCAGTTTGACACACTAAAGAATGCCAATTTTGATATTCTTCCAGATGTTAACTTGACTGAATCTTATATCTCAGTATGTATTTTTGTCACATTGTTTTCACCAGTTTTTCTCTTTGTTAGGTAGAATATCAACAGATAGTGTTATTATTTTAAAAAAAGCTATGTACACTGCAATACCAAATATTACTTTCGTTATTACTTTACTCTGCTCAAATTTCTAGAATTTACAATATGTTGCATAATTTTCTTAAAGGATTACAAAAATCTTCTTATCAGTAAATGATAAAACGATTTAAGAACTATTAATCAAAATACCTGCCCCGACATCCATACGCCTATTTCAGTCATCCTTTGTTAGTGCCCTGATGAACTTGACTGAGACTCTGAAGCTCTTAATATCAACACGAATCTTTTTCAGATTCATTTTTACTTTAAGGCGTAGGAAATAATTTGTAGCAGGCAAATTATATGGAAATAAATCTAGATTTCTATCGCAATTAAATCATTCACGATTAAAGCTGTTAAACACGTAATGATGTAAATCGCATTCAATTAGTTACAGCTACAATATATAACACAACGACTGCTTCATTCAGTCACATATCTTAAAAATTAATTAGTAAATAGTAAAACTGAATGAAGAAGGATTAATGTTTTCTGCATTTTCTTATGCTATAACAAGCAATTTCAAATGCCTAGGAAATATCTTGTCTTTCTTCTTCAAAATGTTTCACTTTTCCAACTACAAAAAAAGTATTTTCAGACTGTAACCTTATTTCACTTTATTACAGCTCTGTACCTGCCTACTTCATCTGGATCAAGTACATATCTTGGTTTTACTATGGAAATGAAGCTTTGACGATAAATCAGTGGTCTACGATAAAAAATATCAGTAAGTATATTCCTTTTATTCAGTTTGTTTTAAATATAATATTGAATCAAATTTATCTTGCTTTCAATGTTAAAAATATCCGGAGCTTTAACGCAAACGGGAGTTGAGGCTGTTGTGCTGTATACTGTCATTTTTGTAAATAATGCTTAAACTTCATTGAATGCTTAAACTCATAAAATCTGATGCTGGCACATCTCCAATATTCCTGCATGTTAGAACTTCATCTGTTGCTTTATATTTAATTAAATGATACAATTTTGCATTTCTGTTTGATTATAGCTATCGTGAATGCTGGTTCATTCATGTTTATATGTCCCCAAAATCGAAATTTTAATATACTTGACCACTTACAGCTGATTTGCTTTAATCCACTGAAACGTTTAAAATATGCATTATATCCGATGCCTCCATACAGTATCTGAAATGGGAGGAAACCTGTAATGCATCTTATATAGAGGACCGCATAATGTGGATTTTAAAATGTCTTTTAAAATATCCCCTTAGTACGTAGAGGAAAAAAACAGGTACAAAATCAACGCACTCTGTTCATCTGCACTGAAGATGTTCATAAGAAAGAAGTACGTAAAATCAAGTTACCTTAGAGAAGTCGACGATAATGTCAGCCTTAAGAAGGAATATAACGATTGTTTTGAATTACAAAAGCAATCAAGCGTAAATAATAAACTAATACGCAAAAGCATTTCTAAAAGAAGTCATAAATTTAAAATTAATGATTCATTTTGTTATTGAACACCTATCAATTTTCAAAAATAAAGGACTTTATTAAGGAATTCAAAAACGCTGTATGACTTCAAATACTTTACATGAATTTTCCATACCTGATTGATAAATTTGAAGTTATCCTTAAACTTATTCAAAACTCCAGTGTCTTCTAGCACTGTGTTCCTTTAAAAGCAAACCAGTAATATAAAACATTTTTCACTGTTCCGTGAGAAATGTTTTTTTATCAATCTAATTCACACAATTTTTTTTCATAGTTGCAACATCTATAACTACTATCTGCGATTATAAACATACCAATCTACACTGCAACAGCTAAATAACCGTACAAATGTCCAAAATGTGTCCGTCCTCATAAAAACACTGTAAGATTCTCCATAATAAACTAAGACTATTCTGCCGGTTCTTGATTGAGAATAAATAAATGACTAGTATATTTATTCAAATCTGCGTATCATATTTATATCATATGTGCAAAAATATCTAAAAATTTTGGAACTATAGTAACGCAATGCTAAGTCATTAAACTAAAATTCAACAGTTCAATAATCTTTCGTTTCAATTTTTCAGCCTGCACAACACCAATTGCTTGCATGCCCGATGGAAAGTTTGTTATCAGTTATCTGAACTTCAATGAGGTAACTAATTTTAAATATTTTCTCTTTTTCATTTCACTTAGAAATAATATTTCATTAAGAACACTGCTTGAAACTTGAAGAACTTCGTTACATAGTGATGAAATAGTAAAACATTTAATTTCTCAAATTTTTTTCATCAGCTATTTGCACCATACACCATTGATGACGCACTCTTGTCGTCTTCATCCCTCAATGTCATGCTTTAAGATTTCACAATTATTTAAAAAGTTTTCTCAAAAGTGTTCTGTACGTAGTTGCGAGAGAATGCTTAAATTATCAAAGCCGCTCTTGTGTTCAGGTGAAGGTAAAACCTGTCTTATTATACGATAAGTGCCTTAATGTAGGTGGGAATTATGTTGAAAAGTAGATTAAAGCCCAGGCTTTCATGTAAAAATAAAATTGTTAAAATAATCGTTTATGTAATATCAAAATGATACTTAAAAAACCATTTGCTCTCCGATGACCATTCTCACTCGAGAGCTGTTGCTCTTACTATTTATTTATAACACAAGCGTTAAGATAAAAAGTACACCAGCTAAAGAGAATTTCGAATAAAATGTGGAGACATTAGCCAGTGTCTCTTGTTATCCATGTACTTTCCAAAATAATTTACCAGATGGCAGATATGAAAAATATTTCTAGATCACTTTCTTATCTGCCTTTCTAGAGAGTGATTTATTGGAGGGGATGCGATTTTAAGCGGCGCTTTAAGCAGTGAGAAACACAGTAGCATTTCTCAAAATATTATGTACAAAATAAAACAAGCATTTAAGCTTTAAAATATATCTATTTCTGGAAACAAAGCTGTTCCCAAAGAATTCCAGTAAAATTCGCCGGAAAAAAATAGAATGCGGTAAATTTGATACAAATTCATAGATTCATAGAAAGTTATTAGACCATTTTCAAGCTAAATGTTAAAATAAATTTCTCTTATGCTTTTAAATCTTCTAATTTTTTACCAAATCATTGTAAGACTGCTATGATATTTTAAGAAAAGAATTTTCTCCTTTTGTAAAGTAACGTTTCACAGATGTACACGTATGCTTAAAGATTAATAGTTGTTAATAGTGAGAATAGTCTTGATAGTTCTTATAATAAGCTTATTAATAAAGATTGTCGTCTTACTACTGATGAAATTGTTAAATTTCGTTCTTGCAAATGAAACGACATTACTTCCTTTAAAAAACAATCAAAGTAATAAATAGTTATAGCCATTTTCCTCTCTATTAGTTTCAAATTTTTTTAGATACTTCGGAACGCTAGTATCCCCATTTAATTTCGGTTAGCCGTAGGTGCTGTAGTTATAAAATTTTCCAGCTCACTTTCCATTTTCTGTTACTAGATTTTATGGTTCAGTTGATAAAAACCCCGTTCAAGATCTAAATTTCTTACTAATTTATAATTTTATTATCGTGGTTTATTATATATTATCCGGCTGAAATAAAAGTTTCCTATTAAAGAACGTGAATCGCTTAATAAAGGGGGTTACTGAACTATCTATTATTAGTTTTTGTTTTTATTAATTTTTTTTAATTAACTAATGAACTGAGATTTCCTTGGCGCTTTTCTCATGATTTATCAAACCACCAAATTTGTTTAGTAATTATAATTGTAATGCTTACCAAGACTCAGCTCATAGTCATACCTTATATTTTCCCCTACCGACTGTTGTCATCAGTTTGAGTTATATGTTCTTAAAGCAATTGAGATTAGCAATTAGAGCGGATGTGCTAAATAAATTGCTTTCGAAAATGACCAGGGCCAAATAATCCTTCAGAATGCTTTGCGTCGCTTTATTTGAAGATTTACTCCAAACTCAGTTTGCCCACCAGTGGCCGAGTGTATTATTAGTAGTTCGACCCGCTTTGGGTTCGAACTCAAGTGAACAGGCTGGATGAATATTTGGTTTTTCTCATCTGTTACATAAATACGAGTCAATTTCCTTCAGAAAGTACTCTACAAAAGCATTGGGCAGATAGCCTTTGTGGCTTTTCGATATTCAAATAGTTTATTTGATAATGATGACCAAAATTACCAAGCATACAGTTCTAAATAGACGGCTTAGGATATTATATAACACTCCGAAGTTTAGGAAATTCTTCCCTCGGTGACCCGACCTCAATCCCATTGAAAACTTTTGATAAAAATTTGATCCAGTCATATTTCTAATAAAAATGACTTAATAACTGCTCTTAAAAAAGAACGGGAGTCTATGTCTAGCTCAGTAGCAGCAAATTTCATTGAATCATTGCCAAGGAGACTCAAAGCATTTATTAACGCTAAAGGATATCCTACAAGGTTTTAATTTAAATACAGTTGGCACCATATATAATGTACGAATCTTTTTACACCGCAAGATGATGAATTATTTTTGTTTTGTAAATGTCTTATTTATGCGTGCGTTTATTTCAGGCAAATTTCGCATGGAAATATTAAAGTATATTTCATCACATATATTTAATTACTTATTGTGAAATTTAAATTTATAGTTTTTATCAATGAGACATTTTCAGATCATGATTCCCTGTACGAATACTTTCTGCACTCCCTGTATGTAACATTAAGGATTTTTCAAGTCTACCAAAGATGGCAAAATTCATTTTAATTTTTCTTACATAAACAAAACTTATTTTACATATTAACCTTAAATCAAAATTTAGCACGTATTTAATTAATTAAATCTCAGAAAACAAACCCGTAGAACTCCCTCATTTTTCCACATTAACTTTATTCATTGTTTTGACAAATACGTAATAAAAAATTATTTACAAATATACTCTTTTGGAAAAGCATCGAAGTACCGTGAAAGAAGTGGTTGCTTTTGATGAAACTGAATATGTGTATAGCTCATACACGGATAATAAAGTGATTAAAAAATCACGGTCGTAGTACTTGCTCACGGCTCACAATCACTCACTGAGTGTTCAAATTAGTAGTTGATCGAACAAACCCTGGTGGCAAAGCATGCTTGAATTCGTCGAGACAGGGAGTGGTAGAGGTTCCTAATGTCATCCTGCGACACATTCTGCCAGGCATTCATCAGTGGTCGCTCCAGATCTGCGATATTTTTGGTGCCCGAATCTGGTGGCCAACTATGTCCCAGACATGCTCGATTGGTGAAAGATCTGGTGACATTGCTGGCCAAGGAAGAGTATCAACCGACAGTCCGGAGATATGCGAGCGGTATGTGGCCTGGCATTATCTTGTTGGAAAATGGCCCCAGGATGACTGCCATGAAGGGTAATGCAACCGGCCACAGGATGGTATCAACATATCGTTGAGTTCTTAAAGATGTACGGAGGATGACTAAAGATGACCTGTTGTCATAAGAAATAGCGCGCCGCACCATCACATCAGAGGTTATGGCTATATGCCTTTTGTAAAACAAACTCTGATTGGGACCACTGACTTCATCCTCTCCAGACACGAACATGGTGGTCATCTGCTTCAAAAATGAAGCGGGGTTCGTCGCTGAACACTATACGATGGCAGTCTGATGGCAACCATGATGATCGGCTGCGATACCAATCCAGACGACTCCGCCGATGCTGTGGGGGTCAAAGGCAAACGTCTTAAAGGCCACTGTGAGCGTAACTCCGCTTCAGAGAAGCTCCGTGAGATGGTGGACGGTACCACAGGAGGTATAGACGTGGCTTTAGTGCGCTGAATAGTCGACAATGATACCGTTGGGGAGGTTCGGGCCTGGCGAACAATCATAATATCTTTTCTCGCATTTGTGCTCCTTGGCCTTCCAGAGCCTTCATTTCGGTGGCAATTTCCTTGTTAACAACCATTGCTGCCAACATCGTTGCACAGTAGTGTCTGTACGCTGCAGGTTGCGGCCTATTGCTCGATATGACCATCTAGCTTCACACAACTCTACAATGCGACCACGTTCGAAGTTGTTTAGTTGTCTGTAAGGTCTTCGATATCGTCGTAATGGCATCTTTAGTTGCTTCTTTACGGAATTACAATGGCAGCAACAAAAAAAGATAAATTTTCCGCCTCTGTTACTTTGCGAATTGCGCACTAGAAATGCGCTCTATGATCGCAATTCCTGTTCATTTGCCGTGACATTTTGATTATTTGCATGTTCGATCAAGATGTTTTTGCATACCAAATTTCGTCACGACCGCAAAAGTCCTTTTTGGTGCTTCGATTTTTTTTTTTTTTTTTTTTTTTTTTTTTTTTTTCAAATCAGTGTATAAATTTAAATCAAAATACTTTAAGTAAAATATATTATTTTACAAAATTTTGTATAATAAACAATAGCTTACTATTCCGGAAAATCCATAACAGTGTTTTTCCTTCTGACGGATCCGTGGAAAGGTGAAATAAAAGTTTTCTTGAATGTGTAGCATAAACTTATGTACAGACGGTTCATTGCATTTATTGTGATATAATAATGATGGGTCGTGTTTAGAGGCAATTATCAGAAGCAGGAAATGTGAATCATAGCACTGGAACAAGAGTATCAAAACGGATATCAGTTTCACGGATTGATACATCTGACGCTCTGTAGTAACGACTTCAGAAGCCATAACTTACAAAACTTTACAAGATATATAGAGCGATTTTGAGTTTCCATTACCGAGGCTGACAATTTCTTGTTGATTGGCTAAAGTAAGTATAAATTCAAACGATTCTCTATGAAAACTGCTACTGTCACCAAATCATCACTGTAAATTTTCGCTGTATTGTCGCTGTATTGTCGCATCAGAACTGAAGTTGAAGATTTGGCTAATGTGGTTTCAGAATAATGCCAAAGTTAATGATTGCTGTGAGTGATGTGTCTCTATTCAGTAAAGATCCTCTCTGAATGAGAATTTAGAGATGGCGTGAGAGTCCGGCTAATCTCTTTGTCAATAAAACGCCGCGCAGTTCATTAGCGTGGAATTTTTGTTTGTGGATCAACCGCCATCAATAGCTGATCAGTATAACGCATACAGTGATAACAAACGAATTTTATTGATGAGGTACTTAGCCTACCCACTGCTGTATCTTCAGAGCAAACTTTAGTACTAAATATCTTCAAAGCTAATATCTTCAGAGCGAAATACTAAATATCTTCCCAGCATACATTTACCAACAGGGCACACATGACCATACACAGGCATTACTTTGAATTGCGAAAGTTTTGCCCTTTGTATACTTCGCACCTGAAAACATTTCAAGTAACTCTTTAGCCAACATGACCTTTGATTTCTCAACAGTTGCAAATTTATGAGATATGAGTGGTCATACTCATCAAGGTCTGTCCAAATTATAGAAAACTGTAAAAGTTGGTCAGTATAACATAATGGCAATAACATTAAAATATAATTCCGGATCTCACTAAATCATTGGGCTCATTAGCGGCCAAGCAATGAACGCTGGTAGTTCAACACGTGTTCAAATCCCCCTAAGCGAACTAGCTGCATGAACATTTTGTCCATGTGTGATGTCAATACGAGCCACTGACCCTTAAAACGCCCTTTATTAAAGTCTTTCTCCCTTTGGGCAGACCTACAAGCGGCTGAGTAGTTAAGATCTTAGCATTTAACTTAGATACGATCCCAGGTAAACAGGCTGACTGCAGGATTAGTTTCCCTTATGTACAACCTAAATACAAGCTACTTTCTCTTAGAATGTTTTCCATGAAAGCATCCCCACCTTTAGACAAATAGCTCTTATAAACTTTGCCATATTTTAAATCAAACCCATAGGCATATATTCCTCACGTGTTTTCAACTAAATAAACTAATCAATCAAACTCAACTCACTGAATCCAACTTAAGAAGCCAAACTCTGTATCGGTCTCTAGAGAATGGCCTTAACCCCTTGGGTACATTTGACGTCTGAGACACGTCATTCACTTTTTATCCCCTAGGAGCGGATGACGTGTCTCAGACGTCAAACCAAATATTAAACTTTTGGGTACATTTGACGTCTGAGAGACGTCATTCACTTGTTTTCCCTAGGAGCGGATGATTCACACACTTAGCACGAAACATTCAAATGCTGATTTGATAAACACAGGCAAAAGGAGAAAAAATGAAGGTGGCGATATCGAAAATATTATAAACCCGGCATCTGTGCTTGAATATAATAAAGGTATGAGAGGCGTTGATAAACAAGACCAATTGCTAGCGTGCTTCTCAGTTATGAGAAAATTTGTAAAGGGTTATAAGAAAATGTTTTTTTTATCTAATAGATATGGCATTTTATAATACTATTGCTTTTATAATACTGTTTTATATTCTAAAATCAACTGCACAACCAAGGCAGGCATTACTTCCTTTCGTTTAGCTATTGCCGAAGAATTGCTGGGGCAATTGTCATTAAATTATATATATGCCAAATTATAAACATCTTGGACGCCCGTCCAAAGAGCCATACACCATTTCGTTTGGCAGCGAAAAATTGGGCACACTTTCCTGAGAAAATTCCGTCAACTAAGTCCAAGCAACACCCTGGAAAAAGGTGCCGTGTTTGTTATAAGCATAATATTAGGAAAGAAACTACGGGGCAGTGCAAACAATGCAAAGTAGCACTGTATTTACTTACTTGCTTTGAAAATATCACACTCTGCATAATTATTAGTAATTGGTTTTTTTGTTATAGCTTGAATTTATTTCATTTAGTTTTATTTTGTTGTCATTAATTTATTTTTGTTTTGCAATTATAATTGCTTGAAGATATCTTAATACTATATATGTCACCAATATTTTAGAAAGAAATAAATTCATACGTAAAATGTGCTGCTTTTACATTCTACTCCAAGCAACCAAAAATTATATCCGTTCCACATGCAAAGATTTTCTCAAATAAATCCGTACCCAAGGGGTTAATCCAAATAAGATGGGCTCCACATTAAACTTGACAAATCGTGACTTGTTTTCACGATTTGTATCGCCCAAAATAATGACTTGACTATTCTACAAATACTATACTACCCAAAATAATGACTGACTTCTTATTGACTATTCTACAAATTCAATAAGAGATAAGAAATTAAAAACAACTTTAAAAATATAAATCTCTCAGTGGATGTCACGTCTGACATAATTTCAAGAATTTAAATATTCTTTTATGGCGCGATATTTTCTCTTTAATGTACTAGAGTATTTTCAAAGTAAAGAGTAAGAAAAATTTTCATTTTAATTCGTACGGTAAATCAACACCCTGCTTCTGAATCTATAATAATGTATTTGTTTGCCAAGGTTTCAGTGTGTTTAAAAAATTTTATTGAGTAAAATTTATGCTTTCTTTATTATTCATTTATTTGCATAATCGTTTACTCTTTCAGGACAATTTCATTCGAGACATTTGTGTCATCGTAGCTTTGATGGTGTTTTTTCGCCTACTTGCATTCGTGGCTCTACTAATACGATCTAGTCGAAAAACATGAGGTCGCAACAAATGGTGCACTTTACTTACAAATTCTGTATCAGTTTCACGTTAGTTCATAAATACGTGAACATAATCTGCAAGACATTAGGATGAATAGCATTTTAATATACATTACTGCTCTGTTACATGACTACTTTTTATTTTGTTATTTTAATGCTTAATATACATTTATTATCACACACGTTCGTAAATTTATTATCCATTTGCATTAGATCTTATTTAATCACATTTAACTAAATGAAAGAAATGCATTTTAGAATGTAGAATCATAACGACGCAAGCCAGATTAATATACTTTCAAGATTTTGTAATTCGTCTAAACCATACTAACAAAAACTTCGTACAGAAATAAAGTAGCTTTTATATTTAAATATATTTATAATGAAAATTATATATTTTTTATTTTTGCTTGATTTCGTTCATTTAAGATTTTTGGAGAAATATTAAAAGGTTGCTGCAGCTGAATTTCATACACATGATTTTATTAGATGCTATAAAACAGCACTTCAAACATTTTTAGTACATAAATTTTTTACTGACAAAAACTACATTATCTTTTGTACTACAATATCTTTGATTTTTCGAACTTCCAGTTTAAAATCGTTTTTCATACTGAAATCAGTGCCTTTGCAAAATTGAAAATCATCATATATCAGAGCTTATTAATATGTTATTTTATATCGTACAAAACATTCAGAACAAAAATTAATTAAAATAAATTCACGAAGTTTTCTAACTATTGCAAATATGAACTGCTTTAAAATAAGGCTTCTACAGAGATCAACATTACAGTACATCAAAGATAACATACAATACAGGTCACCGTCCATTAATAATAAGGAATGTATTATATACTAAACATAGACTTCAGTAACGAAGAACTTCTAGTCACATATTTATTCTAGGGGGCATTAAAGCCCTGAATTTGGTATCTGAAGAACATGCTGTTGTACAAACTTTTAGAAAGTGCTGTACCAAAGATTTATCTGTTCATCAAGAAGTGTATTTGAAAATATTGAAACAATAAAAATAATTATTTTTTGCACTATTTTGTCATTTTTGGAAGTGTATTTTGCATTTGTTACTAGAAAAAAGCGTTTTAAAATTTTAAGAAACGCACTTCGATGAACTAAAAATACTTTTGAAGTTTGTTTTACATTAAAAAGATTCGCGAGTTAAACCATTACCAAATTAATTTTCAGTAAGAAATTTGAGAAAAGTTTTAATGTTTGGATAGGATTTTAATGTATTGCCGACCAAGCAAATTGCAGTTCCTACAATGAATTTTTTTGCAAATAACTAGAGCGCAGAATTACCTGAGATAGAGAGATAGAATCGACAATCTTCTGAGCCATGAGGTCGACCGTTAGGGAACCGACCGTGATAGAATGTACCTGAATAGCCATAGTAAAAGCGAAAATCTCGATAAAGCAGCAAAAAGGGTAAACTAACATGCTTATTATGTTATTGTTTGTATCCCTAGTTGTAAAGCCGTCGGTTTTATAAATTATGAGTGGGGTGAGAACACACCTGTCGTTGGTAAAGAACACACCTGTCGTTGCAGATGATGAGAAGAGAGAAAATGTAGCAAAGCGAGCAGTGCAAATACACCAGTAATGGATAACTACAAAAATAAGTATCTAAACCTGACTTGCAGGACCATTCCTATAGGTTGACTGCCAAGACTATTATGAGTTTCTGCCACGTGGTTAAGCATTTGCAAATGATCTGGACTGCTATCAGCTCAAGCAGTGTCCTAAGAAATCATGCAACAAACAACTATCGTTTTTCAATGCTACTGGAATATGGGGATATTCCCTCAAGATAAAACACAACTACATATGTTTGTTCGAAGCACACACAAAATCAATGCTCTGAGGTACGAGATCCTCCTTCATCTTGCATGTTCATCAAGTTTGACTCTTTCGGGCTTTTATATATAACAATATTATCACAGACAGAAAGAAGTACAGGAGGCACCAAAACATCGCCATGGGCAAAACTGGTATTGCCCCACTGCACTAACCATCTATAGAAGTGTACCCTGACCGGGCACGCTAATACCATGCTCGGGAATTAGTTTGCATTGCAGCATTCATAATATACAGTTATATATTAATGGTGGATAATTTGCATTGCAGACAATATTGTCTCATATATACTTTACACGGGTACTTTGCAGTTGAATGGATAGATACAATAATTACAATGGATAATTACAATAAATATTTACAGATGTATATACATATTTCTTTTGTGTTTCGGTTTGGAGCTTTGTTGGCGGAGAGGAGTGTTTATGGTATGTGGTTCGTTGTTTGTGGTTTTTTTGTTACACTATTCACAGTTTATAAGTTCTCATTCATAGTGCAGTTCATAGTACAGCATACAGTTTATGAGTTCATTTCATGGTACATAGTGTTGAGTACGTAGTACTCGTGCATCTGTCACACATTGCACAGTATGAAGTAGTTCATAGTTCGTGGTATGAGAAAAGTTACGGTTGTCTCAAAAATGGATATATTTAAGTGTGTTTTCTAAAGGCACTCCTCTATAGTAGGAGGGTGAGAGTCGATATTCTTATTGTTGCGTTTTATGAACTTAGAGGATTATTTGGGGTTGTAAGCTATGGATGACACAGGTCCAGTCCTTGGCGGTGTAAGAAATCAATAATATTTTTGATGTTTTGGAAAACTTTATGGATCTATCCGACGTAGCCACATTGAGATCATAAAAATACTTGGGGGAGGGACCGTGACCCGAGATGTACTGGGTGAGGAAGTAGGTTGAAATTGTGATATTTTCATCAGCCTTGGGTGGTAGTTCGAATGTACGTCGTCCTTGTGGGCTTTGTTCCCATTGACGTTGCCACTTTTCATTCGCCATTTGTTTTAGTTTGTACCTTTAATGCTGATTTAGGCCATGGGATATGATTTTCATGGGATAAGATCTTGTTTGTTCTAGAGCTGCCTGTTTTGCTAGAAATATCCATCGGCCCTTTCATTGCCTTCTAAGGCGTTGTGCCCTCTGGTCCATGACAGGACAAATTTCTTATTACTTGTGCTTATGATGTCTTGAAATTTGCCTGGGCTTATAGGAGAATTTGTGTGTTGTTGTTTGATGGCAATGTATGGAAAGACTGACTGTCGGTGATTAAGTGGATGCTATCTGTTTTTAAGTCCCTATGTTGCATAATGCTGTTAGGTATGGCTATGAGCTCTGCTTTATATATGCTGTTTAGCGGCCGAAGATAACCTAGCCATTCGGAGTGGAGGCCTGTTTTTGTTTTTATGGTGACACCGCTTCCTACCTTATTTTCGATCTTTGAGCCATCCGTGTATGCAGTAAAATCAGTTGATGGAGGTGCCTTGTCGAGGTTGCAATGGAGATTGTGAAGACCCAGAGCGGGATGTCTGTTATATTTCGATGGCTTTTCTTCATATTCTTGTGGATTGAAAATTACGCCGTTGTACGTCGAAGTTTTCTTGAGTTGTAGGATGATTGTGGACAGTACGCCGATTTCTGTTTGAATTGGTAGTGGGGTCAGCCCGGCTATTGTTTGTAGTGCGTTGGTGGAGGTTGTTGAGAATGATCGGGTAATATTGATCAAGAAAGGTCTTTGAATTGAGTCAAGAGTCCGAATTTTTCTTGCTGTCATGGGAAAGGCCCATAGGTGATTATTTTATTGACTATTGCCTTTAATAGAATTTTCATAATGCGATAATTAAGGCCCCAGGAATATCCTTTCATCGCCCTTAATGCTTTTGCGATTTTGGCGGTGGTTAGCTTCTTTTCCTGAAGATGCCGTATCCAATTGAATTTCTGGTCTATGGTGAGTCCTAAGTACTTAATGGTCTTCACACATTTTATTTTATTGTTTCCAATTCGTAGCGTGGAGTTCCTGGTTATTGTTTGTCCTGGCTTGTGTATTATAAGTGCGTGCGATTTTATGTGTGATATTTGGAGTTTTATTCTATGACAAAGGTTGTTGAATATATTAAGGGTGGTGTTGCAGTTTTCCTCTGGTTGTCTTCTTGTAGATCCTTGGATTATGAAGGCAACATCGTCGGCGAAAGCTACAATCTTTGTGTGATTTGGCCACTGATGATCGATAATATTACTAAAGGTGATGTTCCAGAGGTCCACGCTCATACACGACCCTTGGAGACATCCTCTAGTATGTACAATATTATCACAGCCTTCTGCTTTCGGACAATATCACAGCCTTCTGCCTTCGAACAATATCACAGCCTTCTGCCTTTGAACAATATCACAGCCTTCTGCCTTTGAACAATATCACAGCCTTCTGCCTTCGAACAATATCACAGCCTTCTGCCTTCGAACAATATCACAGCCTTCTGCCTTCAGACCACAAATCAGTCTGCTTAACCTTCGACACCTTTGCTACTGTAACTCTTCCCTCCCTGACAAATTCAATTGCAAACTGGAAAATATTTAGAAATATGAATGCTAGAATTATTTGTAATTTAAAAATTATCTTTATCCATAATCTGGAACAAGTTGTCAGCAACCTCAGCTCCGAAATCAATACCTCCATCAAGGATTCCAGTAGTAACTACAAGCTTAGTAGACCTCTCAACGTCAAGAACGTCCTGCATAATAGTGCCAAGAAAAGACTGAAGATCTACAAGCAGGAAGGATGATAAAATTTTCTCAATTCTCTCATAGTTGAAGATATTTTTTTTTTCAATATCAATAGGAAGCTCACAAAAAAGTACACCCGATGGCATCGTTTACTCCAACGCCAGTAAAGCAAAGTTCTTAGCTGACGACTTGAAACTTATTTCCAAAATAATCCTTTTTACAACACCACCACAACCAACCTCATCAACTGTATTGTTAACATATTTCTCAAGCAATTGTGTCCTAAGAGTTTTATGCCAGCCTTTCCTTCTCAGCTTCATAATACCGTTAACAAACTTAAGATTAAAATAAGTTCCATGTCCTGATGGAATCTGCAATATTGCACTAAAGAATTTTATTACCAATATTCTTAGCTGCCTCACGAAGATTATTAATTCCTGTCTACAGTTTCCTGACCATGCCAAGATTTTCACCGGTTCAGTCTTTCTTGACATTGCAAAGGTTTTGACCGCGTGTGGTATTAGAGTTATTTTCAGATTCATTCAACTAAACCATTTTTGGTTTAGTTGAAGGAATTTAGGAATGGTTTAGTTGGAATGGTTTAGTTGAAGGAATATAGGAAGTTGATAGAGGAGAAAGAATACGCTTAGCTGTAGATGGTCTTGGGCTAGGAAAGTATCATAATAATAAATCGGTAAATCGAAGCAATGTAGTGCAGAATATTTATGTAAAAAGGTACCGACAGCTACAAGATTATTGACAATTGCTTCTGCTTCCAAATCACTGTTATGAAATATGCATTTTTTGTGAGGGTGTACATTTAAGTTCTAATTGGTTTTTTCGCGAAAAAAAAGACATTTACTGGAGAAGCAAAAACATTTTACAAGAAAATATTTGCTGCTATGGTTGTTCACCTCCTCGTCGTAAAATTTTGAAATGTCGAGTTTCACTATAGTGCTTGATTTGTTCTAAAAAGCACTTGTTTTTAATGTGTGATGTGTTTGATGCACAAATCAAAGTTTTGGAGCTGAAAAAAGAAGAAAAGGCGATAGACGGCGAAGTATGTTTGTTTAATATCAACAGACATACTCCAGACTGCTTCTTCAAACTCTAATCTTCTATCTGATAGTAAGCAGAAGATTGTGTGATTACTTTTAGATTCATCTTCGAATAAATCTTACATCTTAATGTAGCCAAAGAAATGAATTCTAGATTTCATCATTCATATTATTGCTTCTTTCATTGCCAACAGAAGGTTTAAGGTACACGTGGGGAATGCGTTCTGAACTGCTAACCGCATCCAAGTTGCAGATCTTTAGGAAACTGTGCTCGCCCTATCCTTTGTAATATCTATACCTATGACATCCCTTTTGTCCCCTAGAATCCAGTTCGCATTGTTTTCGGATAACAGGCCATATTAACCCTTGCAGCGAACTTAATACATCA